TGATGCCATTTACAATGCATCCAGCTACAAGTGCCATTGGTCTTGTATGTCACCTGTGTCAGTAGAGCCACTGTATTGTCCAGTAGTACAGAAGTGTCATGTGAATTGTGTTCCAAAAGCAAATTCTGCTCACAAAAATTTTCCTTCTAGAAATCTGCAGCTCAGCCACATGCTCTATGTCTTTACTGTTCCTGTGTGAGTCTGGAGTATCCTTTTGCTATGAATGTTATTTTTCATTAAAAATACGTTAATGTCCTCCTGCACTGACCTTAATTACCTGACTTGGCCCCATCTAACTTCTGTTTCCAGACATTAGAAAGATTAATTTTGAAGAACCCATCATCAGTGATGAAGTGCACTGGAGATGAAAATATTTCTATAATGAGAACATACCATGAAAGAATGCTGATTCTGTGCTTTGTAATGAATATGTTAGCATTTATCTAATATGGTTTTTATCTCACGAGGTTTGAAACTTCTGTGAATGACAAGGAAATGTGCCTTTGTCATGAATTGCTTTGGGTTCTAACTATTTTTTAGAAAAAAAATATTGAGCTCATATTTTACATTTTCTGGTATGAAGGATGATTTGAGCATATAAAGCCTCCTCACTAAATATGTGCTGAAAATGCAGAGTAAAGGTACTAGGACCATGTTTGTCTCACTTCTGGATTACATGATTACATTTGAGGAGTTTGAAGAATAAAATTGAAAGTCTCAGTTAAGTACGAGACACAGAGATTTTTATTACATAATGATAAATATGCAAGTCTTTTATTGTTTTTTTTAACTGTTTAACTGAATGGACCCTTCAAAATGTGAATATCACAGTGGAGTGGATCCTACTGTTACTTCTTCCCCCATGTTCCTTAACCCATCATTGTTAAATATCCACAGAGTTAGTGTAAGATGATTCCACAACATTCTGTTTATAAACAACCAAAGAGGAATGAAAGAATGAAACAAGCAACAAATGAAGAACTTTACCGCCAAGCTGAGTCACATGATAACTGTTTGCAATAAATGGTAAGTTTGTGGGCCCAGTATGTCAGTTGAATCCAGGATATGTTTGTTGCTTGAAGTACAAATAGGAAGGTATTGATGAGGTAGTTGTAACTCCTATATTAAGGAAAATACAGTATGCGCCAAAATATGCAGTACTGAAATGAAAAGACGTCCTGTTGATACCACTGTCTATTCATGTGAAGGCCCCTTGCATGACAGAACCTTCTCAAATCATGAAGAAATGGTCCGATCACCATGTCCCTGTAGCGTTCTTGGGTGACGGTAAGAGCATTGCCTCCTCATCCTCAATGAAATATGGGCCTAATATACCGTGTGCTGAGACGGTACACCATATCGTCACACGTGTACTGTGTAGCGGTTTCTGGACAATAACATCTGGCCGCTCAAAACCAAGGAAGCGAGTTGTCTGGCGACCATTTCCTTATGAGCGGAAATAATACTCAACTATGAATACTTTTTCCTCCGTCGAGAGACCCATTTCCAATAACAACTGCACAACACAACTTCCTTTCACTACTGGGAACACGTGCAGCTGGAGCTATGCCCCGTCAACAAACGCACATGTGCGAGTCTCAGTACTGCATTTTTGGCACATACTGTAATTTTATTCAACATTACAGTAACAGGTAATGGTAACTTAAAAGTATGTTAGTATGGATTATTGCTACAATAGGAGTATAATTTGTAGATGTTGCACTGTAATTATGCAAGGTGTGAGGCCAAATGTAGCACTTGTGAATTTTTATCTGTAAAATTGTATCAGCATGCTTGAAAGTACTTCATTGTGTTAAAAAGCGTTATCCTAAATGTAGATCACTGTACATTGTTTCCCTTGAAATGTCAGGAGCTGTTTTGGTACTTGTTATTTTAAGAGGAGAGGCTGCTGCTTAGAGAAGCGTTTTTTCCCCCCTACACTTTTTTTGACACATGAATGAAATGTGAGAGAACAGTAATTGATCGCCATGCCATGTTTTTCCAGTATGGCAGTATCTTATCGTGCAAAGTAGAATTTCAAAAGTGTACACTTACTTCTGTAATTGCAATGGACCATTCAATTCAAAGCAAGGGTTAGTGTAAAAATTTTGCATGTACTATTCTGTCATCTGTTGTAAATATTAGTGAAAATATGATTTTAAGTTTCTAAAACTACTGCTTGCCCAGTTTATGGGCTTGAAATTTGCATTAGAGTCTTAAATCAGTAATTATTTATCAGTGAAAAAAATGTAATGTTTGTATCACATTATGACAGACAAAATTTTTAATAACAGAAAACCTAACATGCCCATAATGGAAGATGAAAATGCATTAATGGCAATAAAGTTAGTTTGCTGACTGTTACATTATTTATCTGATACATGTAATATTTTTCTCATAAATCTGAACATTTGTTAATTGATTTTCTTCAAGCACCATAAGTGTAATTATAAATTTTGGAACAGTACTGTCATCTAATGCACTAATGAGTGATTTGGAAATATAATTTTGGTGTATGTTTAAACATAACTGGTCTTAAATAGAAGAAATATGTATATCATTGTGAAACTGGTTTAATAGCATTTTGAATGTGGATGTGTGGAGTACTGTAATTTTAGTGGTGTATGTAATTTTGCTTTATTTGTGACTATGAAATTAAAGTTTGGAGCATTATTCACAGTTATTATAAAAGTTCATCATAATATGAAATTAAGGAATGAGGTCTTACATTGTTTGTTTACAGTTTCAAATTAATTAGTTCTTAGTGTGACGTGACTAAAATTTCCAGTATGCTGCTTACTGTGTCATGCACTTTATCCTTCCTTCCCTCCCCCAAAATTTTTGAGCTAGTGTTTTCATGAAAATTGATGCAAATGTTGTACTACTTTAGGTCAACTTAATGCCATATTTTTGTTTTTTTAAGTACTTCACTTTGCTGATGTCAACAGCAGTCATTGAGAATTTGAGATAATGCAGATTCATTACCAACATAAAAGTTTTTAAAGGATGCATATTTAAATTGTTGTGGATTTATGATGTTGATACTTTGTTTTGGCCCAAAATTTACTTACATATTGAGCTGTGTGGGAAAATGCATTGTCATGATTCAAAATCCACTTTATCTAAAATAAAAGTTGGTATGAAATGAATTAAGAGATAAAAAGGTAAAGTTGTCCCTATACTTAACTAATTAAGCACTATAGCATGAAGGCACATGGGGGAGTGAATGTATAGAGCCATGTATTCTTGATCTTGACACTCGGCTGAGGTGAATGGTCAGCTTCATGCCCTGGCTCCTTTACCCCCCCAGAAAAGAGCTCCCTCTTCCCATTGGATAGGAGGCTGGGTGGGTTCCAGAAACAGACTGCTTAACATGGAAAAGTTTTGCCCCTTCTGGGACTCAGACTCTGATGCCTAGGTTGTCCAGCCTTTAGCCAGTTGCTATACCAACTGTGCCATCTTGGTTCCTTGAATTAAGAGAGAAGAGCCCAAAAGTTTCTCTTGTAGTAACCCAAGTGTTGCATATGGTTCCCAATATAAAATGTATGTTTTTAATGAATTTATGGTGATAACAGTAATGAGATGTGCTCTCTTCGACATTGTAAATCAAATTTTATAAACTACCACTTCCCTGGTGCATCATACATCATTAAAAAACCTAGTAAGGTTTAGCTGGTTCTTCGATTTAACTGAATGGACCCTTCAAAATGTGAATATCACAGTGGAGCGGATCGTACTGTTCCTTCTTTCCACATGTTCCTTAACTCATCGTTGTTAAATATCCACAGAGTTAGTGTAAGATGATTCCACAACATTTTGTTTTTAAACAACCAAAGAGGAATGAAAGAATGAAACAAGCAACAAATGAAGAACTTTACCACCAAGCTGAGTCACATGATAACTGTTTGCAATAAATGGTAAGTCTGTGGGCCCAATGTATCAGTTGAATCCAGGATATGTTTGTTGCTTGAAGTACATACATATAGGAAGGTACTGTTTATGTAGTTCTAGTAACTCCTATGTTAAAGAAAATAATTTTATTCAACATTATAGTAACAGGTAATGGTAACTTTAAAGTATAGCACATGCAGTCACAGGAGCAAGACACAACACAAAGCACAATAAACACAAGAAAGTAGGAAGAATGCTCCGATAGAAGAAGATAGGTGTGACTTGCGTATTGAGATACGACATAAGGATGACAAATCCTGAACAGTTTTAATATTTTTAATATTTAAAATTTATCAATATATATGACTAATATATATTTTAGTTATTTTAGTATAAAGACAACAGGGCATGCAATGAAGTAGTTTGACGTACATCAAAAAGCACCTGAAGATGGCACTTTTGTGCTGAAACATGTGCAAGAGGGAAGAGTAAGGTGAATAAATGTATGCACTGTAAGACGGTCAGAATAAATCATGGACATAAATCAGTGCAACAGGACGCTAAAATATAACAAACTTAAAAGTATATTAGCATTAATTATTGCTATAATAATAGTATAATTTGTGTGATGTTGTACTGTAATTATGCAGGGTGTGAGGCCAAATGTAGCACTTGTGAATTTGTATCAGTATGCTTGAAGTACTTCATTGTGTTAAAAACTAATATCCTAAATGTATGTGAGTGTACATTCTTTCCCTTGAAATGTCAGAAGCTGTTTTGGTACTTGTCAGATTAAGAGGAGAGGCTGATATAGATACAGCTTCATTAGAAAAGCATTTTTTTCTCTCTCTTTTTTTTACCCATTTTTTGGCACATGAAGGAAATATGAGAGAACAATAATTGAACACAATGTCATGTTTTTCAAATGTGGCCGTATCTTATTATGCAAAGGGGAATTTCACATGATTGATTTTTTTAAATATAGTCCCATTTCTTTATATACAGTCAACTCTCAATTATCCGGGGGCGGCTTAACCGGGGCTACTGAGGCTTTTTTGAGGCTTATATGTTGTTTAATATTCATTTACTTTTTTTTTCACATGGTGAGTTGTAACACAATTTTCGCACTAGTGTGAACCGAGCTCTGCATTCTTTGGTCCCGTTATGCTAACACAATGTTCTAGCCCTTTAAATGCCAGTGGGCCACTCTAGCGGCCCAGCTGGTACAAGCGAAGAATGCCAGCGGGCCGCTCTGGTGGCCCTGCTGTCTATCAGTTTCTAAACGCCTGTAATTTTTTCTTTGGCTTCAAATGTCGCGCCATTATATACCACTGTGTAGATCGGTGTTTGAAGTCACAGAATCTCCGGTTTTATATCTATTTCAGTAAGAACAGTCCCTCTGTGAATTATATCGCAGTGGATTACACCATGGGCCTCTGAAGTCGGTTTTAGTTCATTGTATTTGTACCTATTCGCCTATAGATGGCACTTGAATTCACTTCAGCTGGAAGAATTATTCATCAGTTTATATTCTGTCCCACTCTCGTGACCTTCGAGACCTTCGAGACAATTCTGACCATTCTGACCCAGCCCAGTACATGTTCAGTGACTTCAGTGAGGTGCTTTGTTTCTTTGTGTCTGCCTGGTGTAGTACTGTGCATCGATTGTGCTAGTGTCTTGTGATTTACCATGGCTAGGAGACACGTGAAAGCTGCTGACATTCCCGGTTTGTACTGTGCATCGATTGTGCTAGTGTCTTGTGATTTACCATGGCTAGGAGACACGTGAAAGCTGCTGACATTCCCGGTTTGTTGGAAGAAGATGTTGTTAGTGATTTTGAGTTGTCTGACAGTGAAGATATCTCTTCAGACAGCAGCGGCAGTGAGATTTCTACGTCAACTGCCAGCCCTCCGCCGAAACGGAGATGCAGTTCACCTGTGCGCATCAGTGAATCAAGTGACAGTGACCTTGGGGGCACAGTGGAAAGCATTCATTGGGAGGAAGTTGCTGAGGAGAGTAATATTCAGGCCCAACTCCCTTTTTGTTATAGAGAAACGCAAGGACCAAAGCATATCCCATCCCCACCTATGACCCCAATTCAGTATTTTTATCTGTTTTTCACCACATCCCTGCTAAATTCCATAGTGACCCAAACAAATAATTATGCCAGGACTTTCCTCCAGAGCCAGAAAAATATTTCTCCTCACTCCCGGATTCTAAAATGGACGGATGTTACAGTCACAGAATTGAAAGGGTTCATTGCCTGCCTTCTCAATATGGGAATCAAAAGGCAGCCAACCATTTCTTCATATTGGTCTGTGAGCCCAAGCCTAAATAATCCTTGGTTCCGTAGCATGTTCTCACGCAACCGTTTTCAGCTCATTTTGAAATTTTTCCATTTGGTGGATAATAAGAACTTGGCAGGCCCTGGACAACCCGGATATGACCCTTGCGCAAAATTCCAACCACTGATTGACCATGCCAATGCACTTTTCCGGCACCATTATGTGCCACATCAACAACTTAGTGTTGACGAAAGTTTGGTTGGCACCAAAATTCATACACAATTGATGCAATATTTGCCTAATAAACATCATCACCGATGGGGCATAAAATTGTGGATGTTGTGTGACTCAGTGTCCAAGTATTGTGTAGCTTTTTTTGTATATCGGGGGGCCAAGGATGTTGAAAATATATCTGAAAGAAAAAGATTTGGATTAGCCTACACGGTGGTAATGAAACTTTTGAATATGGGAAATTGTCTCCGTAAAGGCCATCACATTTTCATGGATATTTTTTTTACCAGCATTCCCCTTGCTAAAGAACTTTACAAACTCCAGACATTCGTAACCGGCACAGTCAGAAGAAACAGAAAATATTTGCCTGCAGCATTTGGAAATAAATTTCAGATCGGTCAAAAACGGTATTTCCGAAGTGGTCCAATTCTGACTGTAGCATACCGTGAAAAAAAATCTCAACGTTCCCCAGTTTTGCTCCTCTCCACCCATGGTCAAGCTTCTGAAACAGAATACACCCGAGTTCGTCGTGGTAATAGAGAAACTTTAAAAAAACCCCAAATTATCCATTCCTATAACCAGTTCATGGGTGGTATAGATACCTCAGACATGATGGTGTATTCATACCTCGATGAACGTCGTACAGTGAAATACTGGAAAAAGGTATGCTTCAGTGTATTTTCTCGAATGCTGCTAAATTCGTACATCCTGTACAAAGAAAATATGACAGCTGGTTCGAAACCAATGTCTCGTTTGGACTTCAATATCAAAATTATCGAATCTCTGGGTGAAGAATGGCTTCAGGAGAGAGGAACTGTACCTACAGCTGGACCATCAGACGCGGGGGAAAATAAGGATAAATATTTGAGAAAGTTGCCCCCAAGAAAACTAAAGGATTGTTGTGTTTGCAACAAGAGAAAACTGGGGAAAGGAGAGAGAAGAAGATCTCGCACAATATGTGCAAAGTGTGAGAAGGGCCTGCACGGTGAATGCTTTCCTGAACACAAATGTGCCGGTGGTACATAGTCCACTTTTGCTGTTTCACTGGTGCGAATTCGATGAGGGCGAGAACTGTAGTGTCTTACAAATTTTTAAATTATGAATAAACTATTTCGTTTACAGTTTTCAAATTTTAACACAATGTACAAAATGAAGGGCGCTATCAGACAACAACAATAGGTAATCATTTTTTCAATAATTTGATGATATTATACTTGAAAGTTTCGTTTCTTTTTCCTAAAAAAAGTACTAAAAATATTTTTTATCTTCATAATGTGCTGTGATAGAAATAATATTGTTGCAGCACAAGAATATACATTCATCTCGCAACAACCGGGAATTTTCCAGTTTTCTGACATTAAAAATGGGGTGAGTAGAATTTATTATAAATATGCATGTAATAGTATCTAAAACGGATTTAAATTGCCTGGCAGTTTAGGGACGGCCACTAGAGCGGCCGCCTGGCACTCTAAGGGGTGAAAGAATGCAAGGATTTGTGGAAAGTTCCAAGGACAGATACATCGCCCCAGTTAGTTTCTTTGTATCCATCTTCAAGTGCGTTAGCAAAATGTCAGGGTGTAAAAGGAAGCGTGTTGTGTTAAGTATTCAACAGAAAAAGGAAAATGCCGCGAAAAAGTAAAGGACAATATTAAATTTTTTTAAGTGTTAAGTGTGAATATGTGTAAAAAGTGTTGGATGTTGTTGAAGGCTGTGATTGAAATAACTAATTCATACTTCAGTGTAATGTAAAAAAAGTATTAAATAGGCCATGAGATGACATAAAAATGAGGTTGAATAAATTTAAATACAGGTAGGCCTATAGTATTATGAAGGTACAGTATTACAGTACTACTTTTAATAAAATTTGTCTTAACTGGGTTTTCGATTAATCGTGATTTCCATCCCCACCATTATCCTGGATAATTGAGAGTTGACTGTATATTATAAGATATATAATATTTGTTAAAAATAAGTTTTTCTATAGGTCCAGCCTACAAAATAACATCTAGACATTTAGACCAGAAGCATTAACCAGAGCATACATGTCCATTGGAACTAGAATGCTTATTTTTTGTATTCTGCAACAGAAACTATTATTTGTATATACTAGTCATATGTGATAAAAGGAATTCCAAATATCAATACAGTACTGAGCAGTTAATGTCTTTTAAATTTCTTATAGGCAATTTTATATTGTTTTTGTAACTTTCCATATTAAGTGATTCATGTGTCACCGTGGCAGGACGTCTTTAGGTTGCTGATGGACAAGACAGCATTCAGATATTGATGCAGCTGAAAATACATGAATAAGCAGTTTTGTAGAGCTTACAAAGAATGATCCTCTATCTTGGGGATCAGGCAGTTGTTAACAACTTGTCACTGTAAAAGAAAAAGATCTGCATTTTACAAAATATGACATACAGTCAGAATGGGAACCAGTGGTGAGCTATTGTGAGCACAGTAATAAAATTCTTGAGTTTGTTTGATTGGCTGAGTAACTATTAGCTTCTCAAGAAGGACTGTTCTACAGAGTTAGTTAATTTTAATTAATTTGCTTAGTGGGGGGGTGGAGTCCAGCTGGGTCCACTCGGCACGACAGCCGCTGATTGGCCTTTTGTACCTGCCCGGGTGATTATGATGATGGAGAATTTGGTGGAGTGAAGATTGGCAAGGGAAACCGAAGTACTTGGAGAAACCCCGCCCCAGTGCCACTTTGTCCACCACAAATCCCACTTGACCAGACCCAGGATCGAACCCGGGCTGCCATGGTGGGAAGTCAGTGACTAACCACTTGAGCTATGGCACGGCCTCCAGAGTTAGTTAGTACTATAACTTTTCCCTTGGGACAAAACAGTGACAATAATAGCCCCCTGGCAGGTTTTACTGAATCTTGATGTAGAATTCTTGTCATTCTTCACAGAGAATTAGAACACCACCAGATTTTTTCTACATATGATTAACACCAAAACTCGTGCTAGATATAGGACCAAATTCTAATAATATGAAAAATGTTTACTATTATGACCATGTAATTCTAGAAGCATTATTTAGATGTTTTGTTTTTACATTTTTTATTTTCTAGCTATCTGCAGTGTTTCATATTTCACTTTATATATCAGGTAGCATAATCACAATTTTGAGATGCATTCTTTAAAATAATCTGCATGGAATTTATCTTGACTTGTAATTAAGGAATATACTTTGAAACTGTAGTCATGTTCTTGAAATATATATATATGCTGTTTAATTACATTTCCATTCCAAATGGGTGTGCTGATTCCATTCACTCAAGGCGCCGTTTCTTAGATGGAGATTCAGAATTGGCTCGTTCTCTTTGTTTGTCACCAATCATAACAGCAGTAGGGCTGAAGACACGTGTTTCCATCTCCTGCAATCATCACGTGAGTCATATTCTTACCACTCTCCCACATATTTAATAAACTGTACATACAGAACTGATACACATATGTGTTATGGCATCACAGGTTAGTTATAGGCGAATGATATGTGCTACATATAAATGTTTCACTATGGAATGTATATGTATCAGCTTCTATATCTACTCCAGATGAATTAAATTGGTGTTACCTACTTCTAAATGAGTGTATATCATATGGAATTTTACTGTTAGCATTAATGCATCTTTTGATCACGTACCACTGTACTGCTTCATATCACAAGAACTTTTTAGCACATAATAAAACATAATATTCACTTCATGCTGTCCAGACAGTAAAAAATATAACTCATATGATATTACGCGCAAGAAAGTAGTTTACAGACTGTGATTGCCATTGTTATATTGATCTGCTTATACTCAGCCAAGAAATGCAGCCATAGTTTACAAAATACAAACCATTTAAATCTTGTAAGATTTGAGGTTTTCATGGTGGTGACTATGAAGAAAGCAGTCTTCTGGGATTTGGCACCGTGTATATGTGGTGTTAACCGATGTTTCGGAGGAACGTGTCGCCTCCATATTCAGGGTAGAAGGAACAGACTGCTTTTACCAGTTCTCACGGTCTCTTCGCTTGTGGATTTTTTGTATTTTTCCTTCTACCCTGAATATGGAGGCGATACATTCTTCCGAAACGTCGGTTAACACCACATATACACGGTGCAAAATCCCAGAAGACTGCTTTCTTCATTTAAAACTTGTTTACTTGAAGTAAAATTACTGAGTACTCTGAAAATAATCATAGTTTCATTATGATCGTCAGCATTAAATTTCATGACTACATGACTACACATTCTTGGAGTGTTCTTGGAGGTAAAGGGTGGCTGGCATGTAAGGCTGACAACCTTACCACCATTTATGAGCCAATTGTCTAGAAAATGTGGGACCTCAACATCTCTCAACCCTATGGGCCTCCACGGCCTATTACAGGGATACCTTTACTTTACTTTTACACGACTACACTTACAGAAAGACTGTGTTTGAATATATTTTTGAAATTAGAACATCAGTGGTAACAGTGATATACACTGCAATACTCTTGTATATAGAGTAAAATACAAAAGATGATCTGGTTTCTTGATAATCATCAAATGTCCTACAGTCGTTTGGTCTACTAGTCGTGACTCATACTTGGTCAGGGTCTGGTTAATCTGACATACCTTTTGTTCTTTACCATAGTCCCTCTAGTTACATATTTAGAATATATTGTAGCATCCTGCTGCACATCACTTATTAAATGTTGCTGGTTCCACCATCTTACGTGCAACACGTCTTTCGATGAAACTTACTAAAACTCATACAAATCACATAATGGTGGAACTAGCAACATTTGATACTTTGTATTTAGAAATAGTAATAAGTGCATCCTCTCCCATCTCTTTGATGTGGTATCAGTGATTTTCTATTTTATTTTGCTTTGTGCTACACAACCTGCATTTCATGAATGATTAAATAATCCAAAGACGCACTCACTTTTATCTTGATGAATACCAATTACTGAACAAGGACAATTTACATCTTCTGTTGAGTAGGCTATATGCTATTCCTAGGAAATCAACCATGGAAATATCAGGTAATCAAAAACAGAAGTCATTCCTTTTTCCAGATATTGACCAGCATAGCTGTAAGAGATGATTATGAGCCATGCCAGAACCTCGGAATTATGCGGAGATGTATTTACCTCTGGAGCATGATAATAAGTGATGTGATGTTGAACAGCCCCCCAGATCTTGTCTTCCAGCAAGAGGTTAGTAACTTCTTCGATATCTGGTGCCATGTAGCGGTCTTTGTCCCAAGGCCTTTGCAACATAAATAAGACGAAAAACTGTCTCAGGTTTGCACATGTTCAATTCTGGTGTGTAAAGAAAGAATAAGATTTTTGTGGCTTATAAGTGAAGTCAAAATGTCCAGAAAACACAATTCTGATAAATTTTTAGTATCTGGAAGACTTGGTATTAAAAGAAAAATATGTGTACGTGAAGCTTGTAACAAAATAGGTGAACATTTGATACGGTAAGTGGCACCTTATCACTCCTTTATATATAGTTGTAGGATGTGGTGTCCTTGTTCTGAGGGAAGAGCATAGTTTGGAAATGAACAATTGAGCTAAGCTACAAATGGAAGCATTACAAAGTGAGGGACTTTCAGATTCATTCCCCTACATTAACATCAGATTAAATCAAAGAGATTATGATGGAATGGATATGCAGTTCAGATGGGTGAAGCAAGAAAAATGCAAATAATTTTAGTGAGAAGAGATCTGTGGAAGTGATCTCTTGAGAGCCTTATACACAGATGGTAATATGTAATCATATTGAATTGGATTATAAACTGGTACATTTGCAGGCTGTCTGAGTTAGCCTTGTTGAACATTAATATTTCAGTTCCATACTAACTTCATATATATATGAATTCCAGTCAACACCGTTTTTACCGGAATATTGGATGCAATCCCTGCCATGAAAATTCAACTCCAAATCTCCCTCCCTTTGGCAGTAACATTCTGCCCAGTAGTCTCAAGTATGAAGGGAAAAATGCCTTAAATTTGTAGTCAGTGTTTTTGAGGGCATACGGTTTCAGAGAAGCTTGGAAATATTGAAGCAGAGGAAATGCAAGTTTTCGTACGTAGGTCATTTCAGAAATAATGCACACAATTTTTTGTTTACATCCATTTTTTTTAATATATCTTTACAGTCCTTCAATATAGTCCCCCTGCTTCTCAGTGACCGAGTCCCAACGTGTGGGAAGCTTTACTATTCCATCCAGGACACCGTCTTTGTTTATCTGTTGAATAGCTTGGGTAACTGCAGCAGAAAGCTCTTCTAGAGAGGGAAAATGGCGGCCTTGCATAGGTTGTTTCAACTTTGGGAATAAGTCGAAGTCTGGTGGACTCATGTCCAGGCTGTAGGGAGCATGAGGCAACACCTCCCAACCGTATTGGCGCAGCTTATCTGTTACGACATTCCCAATGTGCGGGCGAGTGTTGTCATGGAGAATGATCGGCCCAGCCTCGAGCAACTGAGGTCGGTTTTTTGTGCATTCTTCTTTGCAGATTTTGCATAAAGTCATGATAATAAACTGCTGTGACACTTTTCCCGCACAGAACTCTGTCTGTCATGATGATTCCTTGGTGATCATAAGCAAAGTTCATCATTTGTTTGACCTTAGATTGAGATCATCAGAATTTTTTTGGTCATGGGGAAGATGGACCTCTCCACTCGTTGGACTGTGATTTCAGCTTCGGTCCAAAGTCTCTAATCCACGTTTTATCAATAGTGACAAGTTGATACAAGAATTCCTGACCTTCAACGTCGAATCTTTGTTTCAGCAAGGTTGCAATGTCGAGGCGTTTCTGTTTCTGTTCAGCAGTCAAGCAATGAGGGACCCATCACACAGAAATCTTTCTCTTCTTTAAATCATTTGTCAGAATTTGGAATATTGACGTTAGTGGAATCCCCGTGGTTTCAGAAAGTTCCTCACATGTCGCATGACGATCTTCAAGAGCATCTGACACGTTTCACACTTCGTTCATCTGTTGATGTTTTCGGCCTTCCTGGCCTTGGATCATCGTTTATGCTCACATGACCGCAACAAAAACGACTAGCCCAGCGAGAAACTGTATACGGTCCACTGTTAACTCACCACAAACTTCACTTAAAGCACTGTGGATTTCTGTTGTGTTTTTTGCATGTAAAGTTTTGATCTTAATGTATGACCTTTGATCTTAAACAGTCACAATACCCGAGAACTGTGCAGGCTCCATTTCTAACTCATGTTATTTAAGAACAGAGTACATTATAAATGAAAATAACGTGCTTCTTTCTCAAGCCCTGAACTGTAACTGACGTAAGGCTCACTGTTGTTGCGTCATCTAATCCACAGTGTTGCCAACCTGTGCATTATTTATGAAATGACCCATATATGTATGCTGTTAACAAAATTTTATTGTAATCACATGAACTGATGATACATACCTGACATGGTACATTAATAGTCACAAATGTGGTACCTGAATAATGTAGCTTTAATAAGTTGCAGAACTTTCTTTTATGTTATTTACTTATTATACTTTTGTGTGAGTTTAGATCCAAAGCATCTGAAGGATAAAAGATGGTATTTGTTTGCAAATTTCCTCACCTGACAACACTTCGTACAACATTGTACACTTCCTCCAGAGGAACTGTTGTCTTAAGTGGGCGTAGAAACTCGATGGCTTGGCAAGCAGCTAACAGTTCAATGGCGATTACTCTCTCCACATTTTCAACCACCTCAAACAAAGCATATCAATCTATAACTGCAAGTATCATATACGTATGTATAAAGTTATCATGCAGGAATACAGTATGGCCCAGAGGACTGTTTATCTATATTACCACTGGCTGAGCAAAAAAAAGGTGAGGTCTCAAAAAATTTAGGGGGACTGGACCTGCCCTAGCTATGAACCTTCCACCACATCCACTTGGTATTATACTTGGTGTTTCCTCTCCAGTCTTCCTCACAACTCTTATGTCTAACTTGTTATTGCACAGCAATACTATTTGTCTTCAAATCTGAATGCTCCCCTAGCACCCAACATTAGATGTCATTTCAGCTGTGACTGTTCTGAACTGCAATCACCAGCTACATCTTAACCATTGTGCATGAATCTCTGAGTGATCAAGTCTTCTGAGAACCAAATATCTATCTACTCTCTCCATCTTCTGTGTGTGCTGTGTAGCCCTATTCAGAAAAGTATTTCGTCCTTTCTCATTCACCATATTTACATGTTTCATGTAAAATTATTTATTGTAAATATACAGGAATGAGTTCAAAGAATTTGTATAATATTTTTTCTTCTGTTTCTTCAGGAGGTTTTGAATATGAAGAGGAATTTATAAAGTGGATATCAGAAAATAAAAAGAAGCAGCAGCTTGTAAGGCAGGTAAAAAGTTTCAAGAACTTGACAGTTATGTTATTACAGTAATAGAGTAGGAATCTGATACTGAAGACATTCAGCTGAGCCTCTGAATTTATGACATAGACCAGGGCCTCAGCTTTTCTTAATCTGGCCCCGGTGTGGATCCCACTTTTTGTATTCCTTATTATATATGCAGAAACTGCCTTCTAAAAGAAGTTATTGAAGGAAAGATAGAGGGGCGGATAGAAGTGACAAGAAGACGTAAGAAGATGCTGGATGACCTTGGGGACAGAAGAGGATACTGTCATTTGAAGGAGAAACCTCTAGATCGCATTAAGTGGAGGCATTGTTTTGGAAGAGACTGTGGACCTGTCGTCTTGACAGATTACTGATGATGATGAAGATTATATAGCAATTTATCTCTTTCACTTTTGTAGCTCTTCTATATATTAAGTCTCTTTAGTTGTGTAAATTTATCTTATATACTGCTCAGTCTAATAATGAAATAGGTAACATTAATGTGAATCATGTTCATGCATGTGATAAACTGTTGCCACTACTAAGATTCTAGCATATGATGCAGTAGCGACATTACTGTTAAAGATGCAGTTTCAGAGGTAACTAAGCTAAGCCTTCGTGCTAACTAACCAATAGTAAACAAAGTGGGTAAAATGAACAATGGCAGAATGAAATGACTCTTTGAAGGCCAGCTTACCTGTATAGCTTTCCTTGCAGCAAAACACCCCATGGAGACATGATCCTCTGTCCCAGCACTTGTGCTAAGTGAATCAACTGATGCTGGATGACACAAGGCCTTGTTCTCTGACACTGTAAATAATTGCAGTGTTTATACAAATACAGTGATTCCAAAAACGAATTCATCGCGTATTTCAGAACTGATACAAAAATGTGCAGAAATTTTACTTTACATGGAAAAGAGAAACCACTTTGTCTTCAGCAAACCAACTTCCTAGTTAATGGCTACTGTTCCTGTCACTTTGTTCCTTTTAGAACTATGTTAAGGGGTACTGACGTCACTCCCATGTCACGGGTTCATGCATCTGATGTGTTATCAGTTGTAGTTAAAGAGGTCGCCTGGGCCCCAGCATCCATACCAAAATTTTGTGAAAATAGACCAGTTCATTAAAAGGTTGAAAGGGACACATGGTGACATCATAAACTTCCTTTTGTTTTCTTACAAAATGGAAGTAAACCCCCAAAAATGTGTAAAATTTAGGAGGGAATTCTATTGAAAGTTGACTACTTGTAACTGGTATTAAAATTGCAGCATAGCGAGGAACTCAAACAGTTTAAATTATTTACAGATGTCCTATCTCATTCACAGTATGATCAAATGTAATTGAGAATTAAAATTGTATCTGGCTTGAGGGAAAATATTTTCATAAACAGTTATGTGCTACATAGGCTGCGCCATAGCTCAAGTGGTTAGTCACCGGCTTCCCACTGCGGTGGCCTGGGTTTGATTCCGGGTCTGGTCAAGTGGGATTCGTGGTGGATAAAGTGGCGCTGGGGGCGGGTTTTCTCCAAGTACTTCAGTTTCCCCTGCCAATCTTCATTCCACCAAATTCTCCATCATCATAATCACCCGGGGCAGGTACAATAGGCCAATAAGTGGCCGCCATGCCAAGTGGACCCAGTTGCACTCCACCCTTCCATTAAGCAAATTAAAAAATTAAATTAGTTATGTGGTACATACCTAATGCAGCGGCTGTACAGTGTGCCAGCATGAACCCAGAGTTAAGGCCTCCATCCTTCACAAGGAAGGCAGGTAGCTCACTCAGTGCTGTGAAATACATCATGAAATAAGATCAAATTCTGAACATTTATAGGAAAATCAGCACACATTTGCTATATATTTATATAGAAGTTGAATTTATGTGTGACTTTTAGCAAATTGCTGTTTGCTGTGAGTACAGTAAATGATAACTTGTAGAGCAAAAAGACATTTCAGTTCAGATGACAGTTTATATGCACTTCTGGCATTGATTGTTAATGTTACAATTTAATTTTACTGTGTTTAATTAAATGAAAACAACTGGATAAGACATTTTTTTTCCTGTGGCACTACAGCCCCAATTTGGGCCTAGGCCTACTTCCATGAAACTCCGTTTCACTTCGGTTTACTAGATCTTACACATTCGGTAGGACTCCTTGGGCGAGTGATCAGCTCATCGCAAGGCCTCTACCTGTAGACAAACACAGAAAAACGCACACAAACATCCATGCCCTGAGTGGGATTCGAACCCACAATCCCGCCTTCCGAGCGAGCGAAGACAGTACATGCCTTACACCGCTCGGCTACCGTGACCGGCAGTGTATAAGAATAATATATAAGAATTCAGTTCGTACCTCACAGGAAACAGATCCGAACCCATGATCCTGGCTTCCGAGCGAGCAAAGACAGTGAATGCCTTAGACCGCTCGGCTACTGTGACCGGCAGTCACTGCACAGTGCACAGTGCAGTAATGTGCATGATGCACATTACTGCATTAATACCACACATAAATACAAAATTATGCAATCAGTATTACAAGTTTGGCAAGATTCGTCAGTTGGTGAATGTGATGTTATAACAAAATGTGTCTGTCCATGACAGGATATTGTCACCCTTCATTTTTACTGACTATAGCATAAATATTGCCGGTCACAGTAGCCGAGCGGTCTAAGGCATTTACTGTCTTTGCTCACTTGGAAACCGGGATCTTGGGTACTGGATCTGTTTCCTGTGAGGTACGAACTGAATTCTTATATATTATTCTTATACACTGCCGGTCACGGTAGCCGAGCGGTCTGAGGCATGTACTGCCTTCGCTCCCTTGGAAGCCGGGATCGTGGGTTCGGATCTGTTTCCTGTGAGGTACGAACTGAATTCTTATATATTATTCTTATACACTGCCGGTCACGGTAGCCGAGCGGTCTGAGGCATGTACTGCCTTCGCTCCCTTGGAAGCCGGGATCGTGGGTTCGGATCTGTTTCCTGTGAGGTACGAACTGAATTCTTATATATTATTCTTATACACTGCCGGTCACGGTAGCCGAGCGGTCTGAGGCATGTACTGCCTTCGCTCCCTTGGAAGCCGGGATCGTGGGTTCGGATCTGTTTCCTGTGAGGTACGAACTGAATTCTTATATATTATTCTTATACACTGCCGGTCACGGTAGCCGAGCGGTCTGAGGCATGTACTGCCTTTGCTCACTTGGAAACCGGGATCGTGGGTTCGAATCTCACTTGGCATGGATGTTTAGTTTGTGTGTGTGCGTTTTTCTGTGTTTGTGTACAGGTAGAGGCCTTGCGACGAGCTGATCACCTGCCCAAGGAGTCCTACCTCATGTGTAAGATCTAGAAAAACCAAAGTGAACGGAGAAGTTCATGGAGGTAGTCCTAGGCCCACTGGGGCTGTAGTGCCAAGGAGAAAAATAGCATAAATATTAACCAATCATCTGAAATAAAAATGAACATGAAACATGCAGATAGATGATATGTATGTCACAAATGAATAACTCACTTACCAGGATTCACTAGCCTTTCAATTCTTCTTTCACTCATTGAAGCTAACTCATGAACAGCCACAGCAAGGTAATCAAGCACTTTTGCTGGATATTCTCCATGGAAGTTCCCAGCTGATATGATTTCCCCACGCTCAGCAAATACAATCTGACTTTTGTTAAGAAAACATAATATTGAAACTTCCATGTAACTGAGGATCAGTGCAGTAAGAGTCTAAACGATTGAGCTATAATTTAGTACTAGAATGTAATCACTTCCCTTTAATTCACAAAGGGAATATTCTGCATATATTGCTTCATAACATTGCTGTAGAAACACATACACACTTATTGTAAATTTGAAATTATGTGTGTAGTAACATAAACTGTAGGGAACCAAGTCACCCTGTCTGCCTCGTTGTTACGGTCCCTTGAAGCAGCAGTCTGTCTGGGGGTTGACCTGGCTGACTAAAGGTGGTGCCCTAAAATAAGATGTAAGCTACTGTAGTAAGGCCTGCATAGCACTGATGAAGCAGTGCTGTGAATGATGCTTTTGGGATATAAAACAAAATCCCATTGTAAGCTAGCCTTCCTCCTACATTCAGGGCTGTTTTTCTTTTGGGTGGGGTGAGAGATTTCCCTACAGCAGCCAAACTACTCAGGGGCTGTAATGAGGGGTCCAGTTAGGGTAAGACTTTCTCTTGGTGGAGGTCAGCTACCTCACCATTGAGAAGTACAATTGCACTGGCTAGTAGAAAAAGCAGCAAAGATGAGGGAAGTTGCTCTTAAGGACATGAGGGCTCAGCTGGGTCAAGTTGAATCCTGCCAGCAAATGACAGAAGTGGGCTATAATGTTCCTGTTGTCAGTATCTGTGAGGGCCCTGGTAAGGGTTACATTGAGAGGAAGTCTGAAGGAGATCTCGTGATGTGAATATAATCAGGAAAAATAACTGGAAAGCCTAACAGGAGATGGAGCAGCGATTGGGGAGTCCTGCTTTGAGGGGGGGAGGGCTAAACTGGTTTCAGTTATGATCTGGCTGTGACCAATATTGGGGGGCTCTCCTATCTGTAGGAAATGTAGCAGAGGTGGGTGAAGGATCCCATTGTTATTCCAGGTTTGGGGTTTCTGTTCTTGGATTCTGCTGTTCTGCTGCTGTGAAGATGTAGTCAGAATTTCCCAGGGGCTCTGGTGAGTACTTACCAGGGGCAGGACTAAAAGAGGGTTCTTGATCAGAGTGAGTGATGTTACCATCAAGAAGAACTGAACAGGCTAACAAATTAGGGGGAATAGGCCTCAGCTGGTGCTCAATTATGGGTCTAGTTGGATCTGAGTGGGGGCTCTGCTGTTCATATTGCAAGACAGGGTGGCTGGAGGGCCCCCTCCTCCAGTGCTCTGGGTAGGAGCGTTTGTCTGTCTACTTTGAAGGGCTCAGATGCTGGGTCTTCTGCTTTTCTGATGTTGTGGAGAAGCAATCAAATCTCTCAGGGGCTCTGGTGAGGGTCCACTGTGGACAAGATTGCATAAGGTCTCTTGATTTGGACAAATAACCTGACACTCTAGAGGAAGAAATAGCAGACACTGTAGAACATGAAATTGGCAGCCTCCAGCTCCTGTCTCAGGTTCTGGGCCTCAGCTGGTGCACGATTATGGGTTTAGCTGGGACCAGGTGGGGGCTCTGCTGCCCCATAAGGTGGAGGACAGCTAGAGGGCTCCTACTGCCAGTAGTTTGGGGGTCTTATCTCCCTGCTTTGAATTCCTCAGGTGGTGGGTCTTCTGCTGTTGTTGATAGACAGTTAAGGGCTGTGATGGGGGCACACTGAGGGCAAGATTGTAAGAGGTCTCTTGATAGGGATGAATAACCTGACTATCAAGAAGATTTTGACAGGCTAGCAAAGGAGTCTCATTTGGAATTGGTTCTTGGGTTCAGCTGCTCCTGTCAGTGAATGATCCCAGGTGGCTGTAGATGTCCAGCCATCAATAATCCAAGAGAATCGAATCTTCCTGTGGCACTGGATGACTAAGTTGTCCCTGATTGTCAAAAGTAAACAGCCAATAGTCCAGGAGGATATATATAATTATGTCAGAGCCAGACTTGGTTGGGCATAGATCTGTGACCTTTGGCTCTGAATTGTTAGAAAGGATGAAAATTAAGAGGGCCTCGATCTGGAGGTTTTGGTTGTAGCTGAGGCTGAGGCTCTTAAAGGGTCTGAGGAGCACTTGTTGGGCACAGTGGACCTACTTGAGGTCTAGGTGACTAGAAGCTGTACCAATTATGTTGATATTCAATAAAAGTAAAAAAAGTAAAGGTAAAGCTATCCCTGTAACAGGTCGTGGAGGCCCATAGGGCTGTGAGATGTTGAGGTTCCCACATTTTCTAGACAATCAGCTCATAGATGGTGGCAAGGTTGTCAGCCCTATGCGCCAGCCGCCCTTTACCCCCAAGAGCATTTGAAGAATATTCCTGGTACTCATGTGTGTTAGAGGCTGAGTCAAACCCAGGGTCATAGTGCGGCTGGAAGAATTAGGTCAATTGAAAAAAAAATCCAATGGCCTCATCGAGACTTGAACCCATGACCTTCCGGCTTGTAGCATAGTGCCTCAACCAACTATGCTACCCCGAATAAACTGCATGTAGCTCATGTGAGAAACCTAGGAGACAAAGCAGTTGAAATACTGAGGTTGGAGTAGTTTCTGGTCTTTCTCGCAGAGAATACCCACAATTTTCTATGGTTATTGTACCTTCTGTGCAAACTTTATTGAATATCTTCCCCATGCTGGTTTATGGAGTCAGGTCAAACAATTTTTGGTATTGTGTAAATGTACACTACATGATATCACAAGAAGAACTGATTGTGTTTCTTATATAAATAAAATATTTTTCTATTTTTATGTTTAACTCTGAGGCAACTGATAAGTGGTAACATATCTGTCATGCACAAAGGATACCGGATTATCTGTGCCACTATTCATCTCCACAGTGATGACACCTTGGACAAAATCAATAGTGTCATGAACAATGCCGTGTACTTGAGGACAACATCGCAGTGTGTAAGCATCTTGCACTCTGTTACAGAAACGATGACTTTCTAGTTTAAAAAGGAATGATAAATATAAATTATTATGCAGTTTCATAAGTTATAATAAAAGTATTCAATTGCTGAAGCTAAACTTGATTGTGTCTTGTCTGGAAAACAAGATAGTTCACAAGGCAAAATATGTTATATCAATTTTCATTGCATTGTAAATTATATCTGTACATTATTTTCTCTTAAGTCATACCATAATAGAATTTCTAGGACTCTTGACATGACACTTACCTTGTTACGGAGTAAAGCAGTTACTTTATGTTGTTTAGAGACACAGTTCCTTCTTTTTTAATTTATCTTGTAGGGCATCAAATATGTATGATGATCACAGTGATTGCTTTTGTGTTATGATACCATGATTTGTAATTTTGTTTATACATAAAATAATGCAGTGACTTTCATGTTGCCGTTCATTCTAGGATCTAAATTACTTTATAATATCTCATTAAATAATTATCATAGCAAAAATAACTTCATCATTTTGAGGAATGAGATAAATATTTACTCATTGTATAGTGTATCTAATGAGAACTTTCCCATACTTCACCTGCAATTTGCGATGGGTGTGTTTCTGAATGGAGCAAAGCTCTTAATCTTTTAGCTACTGCAATCTGCCCCTTATGGGGACGAATCATTTGGACATCTGAATCAAATGCTCTGGATGTCCCTTTGAGAACTTCAAGTGTGAGTGCAGCCACAACATCAGCTTGACGTGCGATGTAGTATGCTCGCTCAACGGCCTCAGCTCCTAGTGATGTAATCAGCTGGGTTCCATTAGTGAGTGCTATTCCTTCCTTGGCATTAAGTCTCATGGGAGACAAACCATGGGCTGCCAGTACCTAGTGAAATTTATGTCAGTCAGATGCAGCATTTATTGGTCAAAATATTAACTGAAGAAAAATTGTTAGATATTTTCATAGACAGTGCTATGCTGCAAAATTCTGTGCTTTAAATTTAGAAAGCGTAATGGTCAAAGGAAGTTTGTCCATAGTTGAAAAGAGACATACATAATGAGGAAATGTTTTTGTAAATACATTACTGTAATAGTGTGGCATAATGAAGGTTTTACATCCAGTCAATAATGTATGATCGGAGGAAGAGTGCTTTTAATTGTTCATGTCAAATTTGCCAGGGAGAATCACTACTGATTAAGCAATATGATGGGTTAAATCTGCAGAAAAATTCTTTATAACAGACTCTGGTGGAGATGTAGCCATTGGCTATGTTGTGAGAAGTGAGACACTCAGATTGGGGTTTTTTTTTTTTTTTTTGACTGCGTGTTTACAATCTGCTCTCTTTTAAGTAAAAGATTGGGGGTTGAGTGAACGAATTGCACCAGAGAGGCGTTGATGGTGATAATATGAACACAGTGACAACTTCTTCATGACATACTGTATCTGCTGATTGGCACTGATCAATTTAATTCATATTTCAAGTAAGCAAGTAAAGCATGTCAAAGGAATTCATGAGGCTACTAAGCAATGGTTTTCATTTACTTGATTAGTTGGTTAGGTTTGTTTCATACAATTTTCTCCTCCCTTTTTATCACAATTTCAGGGCTATGCATACTTTATCACAATTTTTATTGCATATTTTCCTTTTATGTCCCTTCAACAAGGCCTGCTCTCAGGTAATTGCATAGCTGTAGTTATATTGATGTGAGTTATCCAGTGATTTAGATTAGCTCTTTCTAAGGGACCCAATTGAACAAGTGTCAACTCCCTGACCTGAGAAAGGAAACAGATACAGTTTCAGAAACGTTATATTCTTGAGTTTTTAGAATATTGGGTGACCCACAAAGTCCAAAAACCCAGTGATTTGAGTTTAAATTTAACTTGTGATGTTGATTGAATGGGTCAAAGCACATGTGTAGATCATTTCATAACCTCAGATTGCAAAATAATAATCAGGGAACTCTTATAAATATTTGCCAACATTGGCTTCTGTGTGGCATATATAATAGTCAGTTCTCTTTTCTTACATCTTTGGCATTACCCCAGCCTGTTTCTGGGCTCCACATTTTCCCTTCTCCAAGAAGACCAAGAGCAAGGTGAGCTAGTGGTGCCAGATCCCCACAGGCACCAACAGAGCCCTGCTCAGGCACCCATGATAAACATGATGCTGAAATAAAAATTATTTTCTGTGTAGATCAGTGAGATGATTTTTCTGTCACCATCACAGTATATTCTCATATATGCTATGTATATTAGAAAGTGAAAAACACAGTTATTTAGTATTATTGGATGAGTCACTTCAATTGAAAACGTGAGAATGGTTACACAATTAAGAGATTACAATTTTTTTCTAAATTCTTATGTCATGGTAGAATATAATACAGATAACAAGGAAAAACACTTCTGAAAAGAACTGGCAATAATATGAGAGATAAGGGGAACCAGAGCTACAGAATGTATGCTGCTTCTCAAATGTTTGGAACAAATCTCTGAAGCCATATTACTGACCCTCATTTCATGTTATATATTTTATATTAATTTTGTAAATGGGTGGGGATCATAGTCTTATTTTCTAATTTATCTGGCTCTATTTACAGGAAAATTTAATATGTACCATTAGATGAGTTGTATGCCATATTTATGTGGACATGAAGACTTCTATCTTCTGGTATATAACACTATATATACCAGTGAAAATTACTTGCTGCCTGTTTCATGCTGGTGTCTTACTTTGTATACGTTACGTCTGTGGAGATGGAGGTGACATGCACCAGCAAAACATCAGTTGACTTTCACTGAGCTACACAGAATTTTATCCCAGAAGACATAACTCCTCATAATCACTGCCATGAAAACCTCAAATCCTACATTTTTATGGATAATTTAGTATTTTGACCTGAAGATGAAGGAATTGGGTTTCTCCAAGACATTGGTATCTGTTTACCAGACTATATGGTGTCACATCTGAGAAGACTGTAATCTTTGTAGAGGGCAGCAGTATTTAAAACATATTCTGTAATGGGTATATAGACCACTCATCAGTTGAAGTAGTTACAGTGTTATTTCCAGGAGTCTGATAAATTTTGTATTTACATGTACATTTAACTTTGAAGAAATATTTATATGCCCATGGGTTGTTATTGTGCAATTGAAAGTTCTGTAAAATCAAACTGAGAAAGAAAAAAAGGCATTTTACATAATACATATGTATATATACTTATTTATGTTAGTGAGCTAGTGAAAATCATATATGTTATTCAGTGAAAGAAGAGTCGCCGGTTACAGTAGCCGAGCGGTTTAAGGCATGATGTTATTCAGTAAAGGAAGAGTCACCAGTTACGGTAGCCGAGCGGTCTAAGGCATGCACTGTCTTCGCTCGCTCGGAAGCCGGGATGATAGGTTCGAATCCCACTCAGGGCATGGATGTATGTGTACGTTTTTCTATGATTGTGTACAACGAGCTGATCACCCGCCCAAGGAGTCCTACTATATGTCTAAGACCTCGTAAACCGAAGTGAAACAGAGAGTTTCATGGAGGTAGGCCTACGCCCAAATGAGGGCTGTAGCGCCAATGAAAAAAAGGAAGAATCAGTAATTTCCCAGATATTGTATTACAAGAGATATGTAACATAATGGAAGCACAGATTATTTTGAAACCATCCCAAAATATAACTAGTAATTGGCATTTTGAATATGATGTTTTAATCAAAACTATCAAAAGGAATATTTACACGTACCATTGAATGCCTTTATTAGAGCATAGAGATTGGTGAGCGAGATGCCACTGTGTCCTTTAGCCAGGACATTTATTCGGAGTGCGAGCAACATGCGTGTTTTCTCAGGATTTAGCGGTGTTCCAACTCCTGCTGCATGTGATCTGATGAGGTTATACTGTAGTTCCCTGCTCAGAACACAAATCACACTGTAATGCTCCATAAGAATTGAGATGTGTGGAGCATATTTCCTCATACAGTAAGACAGTCATAACTGGGTATAAGAGTCACTCTGATTCCCTGTATAATATGCATGTTGAGTCAAAGCTACAGGTCTTACATATTCATCCTAAATCAAAAAAAGACATTTATTGAGTTCCAGGACCCACAGGAAATTTGTATTCTCTTGTCCTGAATGGAAACATGTCTGCCTCTTAAGAAGACAGGACTCATGTCTAAATATTTTTGTCATTTTAGCTTACTTTTCTTGGCAAGGGTGATATTAACTAAATATTCAACAGTGTTTTTAAATAGTGAATTTGTTGTGCCCAGAATGAAACAAATTACAATGCACATTATGCATTTTAAACTAATGTTTTCAGGGAAATAAAACTAGCAATAATATTATGACGGGCGTAGCACAGATATGTCATGTTGCCTGGTCTGCGCCTGTCTCTTGTACTGACTGGATTGCTCAGAAGACTATTAATGATGAAAACCGAAGTCACCCATGAAGATGCTAGAAACTTCCATATGAGTGATAATGGCTCTAAATGTGGTGGTTAAGTGTTCAGTGCAGCACAGAGAAGTCAAGAGAAGTGATGAATGCAGTGAGTGAGGAATGGCATTGCTCTGGAGTTATTGGTGAGCAGGAACTGACCATAAAAACTAATTGCTCACACTAATTGCTCCACAACATTTATTTTGGTGAAAGAGAGACCCTTATACTTTGCAGTTATCAATTAAAACATGAATAATGTGGGAAATAAAGGGGCTTAATGTCATCAATGATGACTGTGTGTAATTATTTTACCCTTATTCTACTTAATATTGACATTAGAACAGTTAATATAGTTCAGAAGATATTGCATATAGATGCTTGATATCAATGCTAATTTGAAGACTTTGAAATACCTCTAAATAGCTGAAATTCCATATAGTATGAGGTTTGCTAAAACATGGCTGACATATGAAGGTGAAAATTTAAGCAACAGTCACATCTCCTTCAAGAATCCATTGTTGAGTAGTGCTAAGGTTAATATTATGTAAAGGATACTCTCAGTTGTAGGATACGTACTCTAGTTTGTCGCAGTCAATCACAGTTCTGGCAAATTTTCCAAATCCTGTTGTAATTCCATAAACCACTGTGAAAGAAAAACATTTCCCATATATGTACAAGTATGTTTAAAATAACGACAGGAAGAAGGATAGTGCCCAGAAACATAATATTTATATTAATGTAACATCATCACAAAGTTTTAGGTCTTACTTCTCATGTAAGGCTTTAATGAAAATTTATGTAAGTTAATATTCTTTTCTGACATATTTTGAAAGTTATATAATGTAAAGAAAAGCATATGCTTGCACATGCATGTTAGCATGCAATGCCATTTATTATCTTGCAGTAAGAGAGACCACACATTTGGAGTACATTGTTGAAGGACCGGTAAGTTTCTCTCTGATTTTTGAACACTACACCTGTTCAAGTTTGTTTCAAACATGGTGTTGTAACGGTATGTAATCTGGAGAACATTGTGGCCATTCTGTGGTCTTAACAGACACAGTTATCATGTAATCCTACAATTTTATGGTGGGTAATATGATGTCAAAATGACAATCTTTAATATTCACACTGGCAAACATTTCTCTGCTCATTGAATCACCTGAATTGAATAAGTATTTTTGTACACATACAAAGTTATGTTCTCCACAACTCACATGAGTTTCAAATATGTACAGCTGACCATTTTTACCATTTATTTTAAAAATCATGATCTTTTGCGCCTATTAAAAACAAGTTAAATTAAGGTTGTTGTCATTACCACCATTTATGCAATTGAAATATACTGGACCTTCGAACTTTGAACGGTTTGATAATCAAACACCTTGAAACTCGAACAAAAAATTCGAGGAAACCCCAATTTTGAAACTCTAACAAAAACTCAAAAATCGAGCAAAGAATCACGTGGTCGCCTTCTCTCTCTGCTTGATCGCACACGCAGTTGCTCAGTCAGTTCTCCCATTACTGCTTCAGTGAGCATCTCGCAAATTCACTCGGTTTTTAAGTGTTTTATTTATTTCTTTGGGTTATTTTTATTTTATCTTTAATAATACCCATTTGTGATGGCACCAGGGAAATGTCCATGGACCCGGAGGTGGGACAGTGAAGATGTTGAGTTGGGGGAAGGCCACATAGCTGAGCTGATCATTGAGGAACTGCAGGATCTTCATGTGGAGCAGCAGCAAGAAGTGGCTGAAGAACTGTCTTCAGAGAAGGAGAAGGTAGACAGTAAGGGAAGCATCCCCACTGCAGACATTAAGGAACTGTTGCTCTAAACACAGAGCCTTGTAGAGAAGTGGCATCCCAATGTTGCAGTTGTGAACAGGAGTATCAACTTGTTTAATGAAAATATAATGCAACATTGCATTGCTACAAGCCAGAAGTTCATGGGTTCAAGTCCCGATGAGGTCACTGGATTTTTTTCAGTTGACCTAATCCTTCCAGTCACACTATGGCGCTGGGGTTCACTCAGCCTCTAACAGAAATGAATACCATGAATTAATTAAATAATTTTCCTGGGGAGTAAAGCGCGGCTGGCGCATAAGGCTGACAACCATACCGCCATCTTTGAGCCGATTGTCTAGATAGTGTGGGACCCTCAACATCTAGCAAATCTATGGGCCTTCACGGCCTGGTACAGGGATAGCTTTACTTTACTTTAGTAATGCAGCATTTCAGAAACGTTTTAAAAAATAGACAAACCCAAATGACATTGGACAGGTTTGTCTCCAAAGAAATATCAAGTGATGATAATGTTAATGAACCACAACTCCTAAATAGTGGATTCCAGATGAAAGAAGGGTAATTCCCCTTCCAGTGAACAGTAATAACCCTCATACTATTATCATTGATTGATTATTATACAGTATTTTTATGTATGTACTATTATAAATAAAAACATTCAATTATTGAAATAAAATAAACTTATTTTATCATTATTTACCAACATGATCTTTTGAAATATGCACTTAAAATGTTTTATATTGGGTAAATTTTGGGGGTGTGGAATAAATTAATTCAATTTATGTTATTTAAAATGGGGAAATTTAACTCAAAAGTTGAACAAGTTGAAAGCCAAACCATCTCCAGGAATGGATTGTGTTCGAAGTTCGAGGTTCCACTGTAATTTTCAAATTAATTGTATCTTACCTTTTTTCTCCTGAAGAATTTTCTCAACAAGTTCTCTAGCATTCTTCACTTTAATTTCAGCTTCATGTGTCAGCTGAAATGTATAACAGGTACATAAAAATGAGCAATTCATAAATTGTCTGTTTATATGTGTATGGAGCAGAGGCTAAACTATGGCACAATAATTTTTTTGCATACTAAATTAAAGAGTCTGACATCATTAATTTTGTTAGCATGATGTGAAATGGAGCATGAGCAACAGACAAAGCAAGTGGTCATTTCAGTATTTTTCAGAGAAGATTTTTATTTCAGGAAGTGTTTAATGTTCTGTTTATTGATTTACTCACACAAAAGTAAGAATGACTGAAGTTCGTTTGGGTGCCATAGTTATGGTTGAAAGTTTAGTAGCTTGTTTCTTGTGTTACCTTAATTTTGTAGCGGCCTTTACCAAGCTGTCTAAGATCATTTGTTGACAAACTTTCACCATCCAAGAAAATATGCTGTAAATGAAATATAATATGATGTCATTTAATAAATGCATGTACAATAGAAAGCAGTTTTCTAGTTATGAATGAACCTATATATACAAGTATGTATATATATGAGGGTCATGTGTGCGTGCGTGCGCATGTAGAATATATTAGTAGGAAAGGCACAGGGCCTTGGCTTTTGTGCCTTAAAATGTGCTGAAATATAAAAGTAATAAACTTACAGTGGATATGAACATAGATTGAATTTAATGTAATGTAAGTTACAGGTATAGATGGGGCATAATTTTTCATTTATGTTTTCCCTTTATTGTGTTTTCTTCCTTACTTTCTTCTAACAAATTTTATTTACACAAGTGAAGATACTTAAAACAACCTTTCAGGGAAAGGGATTTGAATTGCTGCCACTTCTTAGGTTGGGAAATTTAATATGCTGCTTTTCTTGATGTTGAAACTTCAACAGCAATTACTGCAAGTGTTTGACTTGTGTAAAGAAATCATGTGCCAGAATTATGTCATCCTACATGGATAACATCATTGATCAGCAAAGAGATTTTCAATTATAAATTATCACTTGTTCTAAAAAACAGATGCAAAGGATTAGGAAGCCAACAAATTGCATATGAATGTTGAATAATTTGAATGAATTAAATATGAAATATACCTCATTTTCTGAATTGCAAATTCCTTAACAGATATTCTTAGATATTTAAGAATGATTTCAATAAAGTTTAGTTTATTATTTCAAAACTCTGCTAACATAGATAGAATAAGACTTAACTTTTATGTTGCATCCTAGTTAGATTTTATTCTATCCTTATTATAGTATTCTGCTGAGAAGTGTAGGCAGTTCTGAACTAATAACAGGCAGATATGTGACCATAAGCCAAATTCTAGTTACATACGTATTGCTGTGGAACTGATTTGCTCAGTTAAAATATTTTATTTTATGTTTGGAAACTTTAAAAGTCCAATCTAGAAATTTAAATCAAAATATACCTCAGAGCTTTGAATAGAAGTAAAAAAAGTGGAATGGTCTCTGCACAGTTTTTAGATAAAAATATACATTTGTAAACTAAGGTAAACACATCAGTACAAAAGAAGCATGGTGATTTATGATTCACTTGAAATGAAACATGATGATATACTTTCATATCTGACACTTGTTGTTTAAAATGGAACAAAACACTTTCCTTTTTTCAAAATTTCAGACTTACCTCATCTGGTGGTTCGTATTTTGCAGGGCTGCATGTTCATTAAGGAAATTCTTATTTCATAACTAGTATTCATTTAATTGCGTTTATTTGTATAGTACTTTGAAATTGTCAAGGGAGTATTTTCTTTTAATGTATTCAGTTGTCCTGATAAGGAGGTATACAATGGCATTTGCACTTTGTGTTTCTGTTTTTCTCTCATTTTATGCTCAGTTTCAGTGATCGCAAAACAATATCAGATATTCTTGTTAGTGTTCAATCCACTTTTCACCACAGAAACATCGAATGAGAGCTACACTCTATGACGTTTTGGAGGCTTATTGTGACTTGTCTGTTAAAACTGACATAGTGATAATGNCCCCCCCCCCCAAGTGGATACACTTTAATTGTGCTTGAAGACAGAGGGAAAGTTTTATCCAGGCAATGTAAAATGTCAAAAGATAATCTCTCACAGTAGCACTAAATTGATACTAAAAATGTTAAGAATAACACACTGAAGTTCTGCAGAGGAGGAATATTTAATGTAACAGAAAAGGGCATATGTTGTTTGTAGTATTTAATAAGCCTTTGTGCATTACTTGTTTCACTTAATTTTAAATGTTTATTAGTATTTGTGGGATTATTAATCATTAGTAATATTGTGTTGATGCAAATCAAAGAAATAAGTTCATTTCAATGTTGATATAAAAATACATACTGACATTTTTTTTTTTATTTCTTTATAAAATGAGGCGTTTTAGAGAATGAAAAATATATTTTCTGTAAATGAAGTTTTCTCTTTATATTCTCAGTTGATGATAAAGTATTAGTTTCTAATAAGTAGAATGTTTATTTTTATGTCAAAGTTGTTTCCTTATTAAAGTAAGTTCATTAGCTATGGTGGCTCATGGTAAAAATTATTTTTTCTACTTATTGTTGTGTAAAAGTGCTGGGCTACTAGTGTCAGGAAGTTATGTGCAATTGAAAGCTGTGGAAAATTTTGGATCTGATGAGGTAAAGGTAAAATAAATTGTGAATTATAGTGTGCACAAGCATGAATTACCAACCAACACATGTAGACTTCTCATATCCAGGATTTATTATTAAAATGTATAACAATTTAACACGGGTCCTGAAAGATGTGTATGGACAATCATTTTAATAGATTTTCTGTTGTGTTCTTCTTCAAATTAGAACGTTCCTCCATCAAAGTGAAAATTTGATTTTGCTGCTGTTAACTTAGAATATACAGATCTATATTAGCAATAAATCATGTAACTACTAACATTACCTGTTCGTGAAGCATGTCCATTCACATTGATTTGAAATCAATAGATAGATAAATAAAAATTATAAATTATTTCATAACTCATAGAAAAGTCCATGTTTGGACTATGATGTTATTTCTCTTTGAATTCTCATGCAGAAAATATGTAACATGTAAGGATACACTGGTTCCAGAATGTGTTTAAGATTTTCTGGTATTATTGTTCCTGTTGTTGAGCGTTCAGATGCAACCACTGAAAACATAAATTATTATGTGAATAAACTTCTCTTAAAACATTCAGTAGGAAATGACTGTACACTGTGAGAAGCAAGTTATAAATGCATATAATAGTAGGTATTATAGTACAGCTGTGCGATTCTGAATATTATTGGACACAGCTTTCGGTCACCTAGGGATCACATACGGTCAGATTTTGACGGGACAATGCCAAATGTGACAGCTGCATTCTGTACCCCACATGAAGATAAGGCGGGACACACATTTGTGCCGCTCTCAAAGTTTTTGGATAATATTAACAAACAGAAGCCAAGCTTTTTCTGTGCTTATTGCTCTGCGTTTTAGTACTTATAACCTCGCCTTGATATATATTACCATCGTACAAAATAATGCAACCAGGTTGTTCTGTTGTGGCTTTGTTGCCAACTGGAGGAAGTCAGAGGGTCAGACCTTTGCCCGGTAACACACAGGACAATTATTAAAAGGTCGACAATCTGTTATGAAAAAGTGCCCCTAGTTTCTCCAAAGGAAAGGCCGCATCCTTCGTATCATTCATAAACCATTTCATCGACTTATTATTTAGTGAAAACAACGCAGCAAGCCACGAACAAACCCTGGACAACATCAAGAACCTCCTCATCATGATAGACAGGAGGCACAAAATCTTCCCCATACAAGAAGGACGATAGGAGTACAGACACGAACATACGTGGTTTAAAAAAAGTTTAACTATTGACAATAAAGGTTTTTTAAACAACATCTAGAAACTTTTAAAAACTTTACAACACCAGGAAGCTGCTGTGATTTTGAAACGTTCGACTTTATGCGTACTGTGCATTATAGGATATAAGTGTATGTATTTTAAATCAAAACACCTATTGTGATGGTAGTTTCCAGTTTGTAATGATGTTCCCTCTGAAGATGGCCCGTAAGGACCGAAACATGTAAGGGAGATAAGTTTTAACGTAGTAAAAACTTACATGTCACACTGGACGGAGTAGTTTGTATTTATTATTATTATTATTATTTAGTTGGCCAGCATTATTATAGGTCACGTGAATTCGGATCTTGACAAGATCTTCCAGAATGGATAACTATGCAATTGGATGCATAACTCCGCGTTAATGAAAATACTGAGATGCAGAATCAAGCTGCTTGAACTAGTGTGACAACAATGTGCTCAACACACCAGATTCTGGGACACACAGATCAAATTTCTGAAACGTTGTGTTTTCTATTTCCTATAATTCCTGACAATGGGAAAAGTCCCAAAACCCAGTCATAGTGTTATCCACAATCGTCAGTACTCTTAAGAATCTACTAACAATAATAATTTCCGTATCCCTGTGAGGAACAAATGCATCTGTGGGAAGAGTGGAAAGAATGCCTTAGGGACGGGTGAAAGAAATCGATTAGAAATGGTCACTGAAATGAAGATCTCCAGGCAAGCTCACTTTCGTAACTACAAATGCACAAAACGTCACGAGTTTCCCTTACGAAGCCGCAAGGTTCTGAAAGAGATGCACAGTTCCGCCAAATACATTTGAGCGCCTTACGCTGTCCACACAGACGGAGCAATTGCCCTTGACACGCGCTGCTTCAGCAAGTTCTGCTTTCTTTTGAAAGTAAATTGACCCTTCCAGGTTGTGAAAAATATGTACGATAAAATCTGTACCGTACCAGTCTGCCATAATTATCATTACCATGAACGGCCCTGGGGATCCGTTGTTCTGACCACGCGATACCCTCTATCCGCAAAAGTTGGCACTAACTTCGCCGACAAGCAGCGGTCGCTCGGTCGGTATAGTACGCTTACGGACTACAGGTCACGGAGTAGTGTGTAATGAATGTAGGACACAAGTGACCTCAGTGGTCAGAGTTCCTGGCTATATATCCAGAGCTCCCGGGTTCGATTCCCGGCGCTTCCGGATTTTCTGAGAAGTAATGGGTCTGGAACGGGGTCCACTCAGCCTCGTTAGGATAATTGAGTATTTCAAGGAAATAGAGGCTCCGGTCTAGAAAAACGAAATTAACGGCCGTGGGGATCCGTTGGGCTGACCACGTGACACCCTCTATCCGCTAAAGTTGACACTTCGCCGACAAGCGGCGGCCGCTCGGTCGGTATAGTTCACTTACGAACTAAAACCACGGAGTTTGTTTTAGGTTGTTTTGTTTTGTAGCACAGACATACCGCATTGTCCTTCGTATAGTATTATTGATCCAGGGCCGGATATAACAAGTGGCTGGGGCGATCGCTTTGGAGCTGCCACAAAACTTAAATAGAATTAAGGGATTTAACTGAGATATTTACTTCTCCGAATTCACGAAACGTTATTTAGTATATTATTATTATTATTATTATTGGAGGGAGTGGGTTTCCCCATGCACCGCGACCAGTTTGATCTATTGTGGGTCCCCCTATAATCTTCTACCAGCCTCTGTACCCTACCGGTATTGGTGCTTACCATCAGTCCCTACTCAGCCAGCGAGGTCGGCCTCTACCGGCTCAGCGGTATCACAATGCCTCCCCCATCTACCAGAGGTGTTAGACACTACTGTTGGGCGGGAAATGTTTTTAATTTAGCTCAGTGGCCTCCTTTGGAAACATGAGGTTCTTTTACGTGCCGTAAAGCTACGACACGGGACCCACGGCTTAAAGTCCCTTCCGGAGGACTTGTTCCCTGAATTTTTCCGCCCTTAAAAATTCTACGACCTCCACCGGGTTTGAACCCGCGTACCTTGAGTCATGAGGTGGGAACGTTACCCCTAGACTACAGAGGCCGCTTTATTTAGTATATATACTTATTGTAAAAAAGAATTATAGACTGAATTTCCTGCGACTGATAGCTGTCTCCACATTATAATTACCCCCACAACTGTAAATCGGGCCCTGTATTGGTCTAAATTGCAGGAATTGTTAAATATTAGTGAATTATCACTGCGCCACAGATACTATATACTTTTTTTTATTGCTAGTGGGGTGGGACTAATTCCCTTGTACTGCGGCCACTTCTGGCCTATTTTACCAGCCCCAGATGATAGGTGAGGGTGATTGTGGAGCAATTGGTGGAATGAAGATTGACAGGGGAAACCGAAGTACTCGGAGGAAACCTGCCCCAGCGGCACTTTGTAAACCACAAATCCCACTTGACCAGACCCGGGATCGAATCCGGGCCGCCGCGGTGGGAAGCCAGCGACTAACCGCTTGAGCTATGGAGAGACGAGTTAAGAGAGAAATCAGAAGTAACGATTTTCTTCAAGATATTCTCTTAGTATCCGTTCAGTGAACTGAAGATAATCGCAGTACGGATATCTGAGCCAATAGAAGTTTCTAAGCTATAGACCAGACATTCCTCTTTTTTTGTTTTTGAGAAATGTGTATATGCCCCAGGGTCAACTGTCCCACTAAGGTTCCTCGGTACTTCCCTCCGCCCACGCCAGTCTTGAAGAACGGTCCTACAAGGAAACAGGACCAAAGAGGTCTCTTCCTCATTCTTTTCAGTTCTCCATATATGGGCATCCTCCCCATCCCACGCCAAGCAGCTTTTCGCTGAAAAATGGCCCATGACCTAACCATCGAATCGGATACCTTGAGGACAGGAAGTAGGACTAGCATACGTAACATCTCAGTGCTTGGTACAATACAGGAAAACAGGAAATTATCCTTGAACTCGAGTGGTTTTTACATCAAAGGCGTTTCCAGTTTTCTTCTCTCGTTGATGTCACCATGGCACTCGTTTAAATATGTCTTCAAAATAATTTACCTGCGGCGTATATTTTTTTTTATAACGAATGATGCTAGAAGCTGTTTTCATAGAACCAGAAACCAACACATTCCTTCACTTCAAGGATACAAAACACTTTCGAATATTTAAAAAAAGCCGTTGACGGCGAGAGAGCGAAGGGGCAAGTCAGCCATTTTGATTTATGGAAAAATCAAAATTGTGGATTATATATATAAAATTCAAGAGTTATTTACGTAATATTATCTTGAATACTGTAGGGCAATCAGTAAAAGTAGTCATAAACGATATAATATAAGTTTATAAGGATATTTTCTGACTGCCTCCCATGGAAAAAATTGTGGCTGTATCCATTCAAGATGTCTGCTAGCTGCAGGTTACTCCTACACCCCAGAACATAATTCCAAGGAAGTTCTTTATATGTATCATTCATAAAGGATTTTAAGGACGGACAAAGGACAAGATACAATCTCATACCTCACACATTGTCACAATTGAATAAAAGGAAGAAGGCGGGTAGGAAGCACAGAAATTTTGAACTATCAAGTATGTTGTGTCAGGTATTACCTCTCGTTTACATACAGGTTTCTCAGATCTGTGCTTCTATTCCTGAGGTCACATTTTCTTAAAATTCGCTTAGTGGGGGGTGGAGTCCAACTGGGTCCACTCGGCACGGCGGCCACTGATTGGCCTATTGTAGCCTGCCCCGGGTGATTATGATGATGGAGAATTTGGTGGAATGAAGATTAGCAGGGGGAACCGAAGTACTCGGAGAAAACCCACCCACAGCGCCACTTTGTCCACCACAAATCCCATTTGATCAGACCCGGGATCGAACCCGGGCCGCCGCGGTGGGGAGCCAGCGGCTAACCGCTTGAGCTATGGCACGGCCTCAGTTTCTTGGAAGATACCTTCTCTATTCGTGAAGAGAAGTGCTGGGAAAAACTGATCTTCCTAATCCATTAATCCACACCAGTTCATAACCAGTACCTTTGCGTACGAACAGATTGATGTAGCGGTAGTGCTCTAGACTCGTATGCTCGAGGTTCTCGGCTCAATTCTCGGCCGGGACATCAGCTATTCTGACTAAAATTTTTAGTTTTCCTCAGTCGTTTTGGGGAAAAATTTGGGATAATACGTCGTTTACGTCACGGTCATTTTCTTCTAAATCATTTCTAATTCATCGTCCATTCTAGCATTCCATGCTACATTGTGTACATACTGTCAGTGTGGTAAAGTAACCAAGCAATTTTTTTAATGAAGATACAGAAGAAGAGTATCGAATGCTGCTGTATGTGTAAAAAACAAACTCCTTGGCCTGTAGTCCGCAAGCGAACTATACCGACCGAGCGACCACCGCTTGTCGTCGAAGTTAGTGCCAACTTTTGCGGATAGAGAGTGTCGCGTGGTCAGCGCAACGGATCCCCACGGCCGTTAATCTCGGTTTCTCTAGACCGGAGCCGCTATTTCCTTTTATAGCGCAGGGAATCGAACCCGAGACCTCTGGATCTGTAGCCAGGAACTCTGACCGCTAGACCACAGAGGCGGTAAAGTGACCCAGAAAGTACTCAGAAGCGTAGCGAATGCTACTCTCTATATAAACAAAGTAATAAATAATATGCTCACAGTTTTGCTGATGTGACGTCACTCACAAGCACTATCAGCAATCCTTGCGATGTCCATATCAGAGCTTTAATGTAAGGAAAAAAGGTAAAGCTGCCCCTGTAACCGGCCGTGGAGGCCAATAAGGTTGTGAGGGGTCGAGAATCCCAAATTTTCTAGACAGTCGGCTGACAGATGTTGGTGAGGTTGTCAGCCTTACGTGCCGGCCGCCCTTTACCCCCAGAATGATTCCTGTTACTCATTTCTATTAGAGGTTAAGTAGACCCCAGGACCATACTGCGGCTGGAAAGGTTAGGTCAACTGAAAAATTCAATGACCTCATCGGGATTCGAACCCGCGATCTTCCCTCTTGTAGCATAGTGTCTCAACCAACTATGCTACCGCTTGCCCCCACGTAGTTATTTAAATTCTGTATTGCTGCGTCCTATTAAGCATGGATCCAATAATTAACTGTCAAATTTTACCTGACGATGTTATGACGAACGAAATATGCGCAGAGCGATAGTGTGAATGGTTAAATGAAAATCCCGTCACTTCAGACCGTCACGTGAAGTCTTGGGTGCTGAAGGACGGAAGAGTAGCTGATTGTTATAAACAATCTTTTGAATTCTTGTCATACGGGTAGCCTATTCAGTTGTGAGTCGGATGTGAAACTGGGAAGACGAAACGATTTCCGGATTATCTAATACCTTATTTTCTGTTTTCGGCATGCATTGCAAACTGCTGTTTATTAATGCTACTGCTTAACAAATTTATTAGATTCATGTTTAAATAGGGTCTACATGCAGACCTGTTACTTTAAACCTTGGGTGTAAGTTAAGGTTTGGGAAATAAATTACAGAGTTTACTCTCATGAAACATCCAAATAATTGAGAATTTTATATGAGCGTTAGGCTGTACAATTCCTGAATTAGGGACTTAATACAACAGAAATGGCAGCACCATAGCTCAAGCGGTTAGTCGCTGGCTTCCCACCGCGGAGGCCCGGGTTCGATGCCGGGTCTGGTCAAGTGGGATTTGTGGTGGACAAAGTGGCGCTTGGGCGGGTTTTCTCAGAGTACTTCGGTTTCCCCTGCCAATCTTCATTCCACCAGTTTCTCCATCATCATAATCACCCGGGGCAGGTACAAAAGGCAAATCAGTGGCCGCCGTGCTGAGTGGATCCAGTTGGACTCCACCTCCCACTAAACGAATTAAAGAAACATTCTAGACTTATACTTATCCTAATAGATGATTTTCATTGTTTTCCTCAGTTCCTTCGAACATGTACCCGGATGCTACCTCGATTATGTCACGAAGGCTACCTTAAAATTTTCTTCAGCTTATTGTCTGCTTCACAGTTCCGATGTTGAAACCGTCGTTAAATGACCGAAGGGAAAAGTAGCTAAAAATATTAATAATTTATTTATATATTCTCTATTTTACTTTGGAGGCTATGATTCTGAAATATCTGCCCCCTTTCTATCAGGCTACATCTCATCCAATGAGCTGAAATTAATCTTCAGCGATACCAACACAAGGTTTCTGGCCAAAACAACGAGGCTCTTCAGAAAGATTGCGACATCAAAAGGAATTCTCAGTTCTTTACATACATTACACAATTTGCGCATTTATTTAGAAAGTTGACGATGTATCGTATTTCTGACTTTCCACTTACTATACATTGTCTTAATAGTTCAGCTTACCAACGGTTACAAAGTCATTATCGTCAAGGACGTCTCTGATATTGTCGTCAGGGTCTAGGATAACCCCACCACGGGTCTTCCTTACTTCCTGCGCCTTCTCCATTTCCCTGTTTTCCTTGATATCGTCTTGTTTCTGCAGCTTGTTGTATCTGCGGACTGACTCGTCTCCCAGCCACCGCACAGTCATTTCTCCTGCGGCACATTGTCACAAACAAAAATGAAAGTTTACATTAAATATAATTTGTTTCAACGAATATCGTCTTCACAATTCAATTTCAGGTGGCAGAAGTAAAATGCAGAGAAAATGGACTTAATTTTAACAACTTTCGGCATACATAGGAATATAATAATAATAATAAAACAAAATCCGTGGCTTTAGTACGCAAGCGAACTATACCGACCGAGCGACCGTAGCTTGTCAGCGAAGTTAGTGCAAACTTTTGCGGATAGAGGGTGTCACATCCCCACGGCCGTTAATCTCGGTTTTCTAGACCGTAGCCTCTATTTCCTTGAAATATTTCCTCAATTATCCTTACGAGGCTGAGTGGACCCCGTTCCAGACCCATCATTTCTTAGAAATTCTGGTAGCGCCGGGAACCGAACCCGGACCTCTGGATTTGTAGCCAGGAACTCTGATCACTAGACCACAGAGGCGGTTCCTTTTGAGTCCAACTATTCTCCTAAACACTTTGTTCTCGGTTGGATGTCCTTCACTAAGGGTGAGACAAAAATTTCATATCCATGTAAGACAACAGAATTATATACATACATATTACATTTTAATTCTGAACTGAATAATAGCAATCATTACTTGAATATATTCTTTCTTTCACTTCTGTTTTTCCAAAATACAATATATCTTAAGCATATATTACGTACCGCGACATCTGTATTAAGACGCTGTGTTTTATTTTGGTGGCGGAGATGGCCATCTTAATATTTCTAAGCTTCAAGTGGCCGACTTTAGTACTTTTCAGCACCGCCTTTGTATTTTTATAAGTAATAATTCTCTAGCGTTTATTCCATATGATATATTGATAGGATCACAGGATCCTGAGGATAACAGTTGCTCGTTTGTCGGCCACACAGGACCGCTGTTTGCTTACTGTAACACCTCCGGTCACAATACGTACCTGTATTCTTAAACATGAGATTTGACGCACTTGTAACTGTGGCTACTAAAGTTACGGCCTTTTGGAAAGTGACCCCGTGGAGTATGATACAGGTACAAAATGTTAATATTTTAGAGGAACATGCTACCTTCTTCCTTCCTCAATATGAGATTTCTCCGAAATGTCGTTACCTATCTACCAACCTACACGGTGTCATATTCTGTAAGACTGTAATTTTGAAGCTTTATTGCGTTTTTAATCTGTATGTGGAATGTCTGAACTTTTTAAAATGTATCAGCCACAGAATTTAATTTCAATTCAGATTGGTTTATTAGTGCTAGGCAGCTGCTCGGTAAACACATTCCCGAAATTATGCTTTCAACAACAGGACATCCATTGCTAATTATTTCAATTAATTCGCTTAGTGGGGGATGGAGTCCAGCTGGATCCACCCGGCACGGCGGCCACTGATTGGCCTATTGTAGCCTGCCCCTGGTGATTATGATAATGGAGAATTTGGTGGAATGAAGATTGGCAAGGGAAACCGAAGTACTCGGAGAAAACCTACCCCAGCGCCACTTTGTCCACCACAAATCCCACTTGACCAGACCCGGGATCGAACCCGGGCCGTCACGGTGGGAAGCCAGCGACTAACCGCTTGAGCTATGGCGCGGCCCACATCCATTGCTAAGTAACGGGTCAATAAACACGCATTCTAAGACAAATGGAAGAAAGGTGTTTTCCGTGGGGTCCGTGCCGAGAAAATGTAGAGAGTTGAATTCCGAAGCTGGTTAGTTAGAGGAGTACATCGGAGTACAGAAGACTATACATGGATTTGTGTCCTAGTGATTTGGGAAGTGGGTAGATTAGCAATAACGCTATAATTGATTGTGATTAAGAGTGATTGTAAAAGAAGGCGTTAATAAATCCAGTCACCCAATCCAGAACTCGTCATTATTAGTCACCGAATCCCAGACACCTGAGAATACAATATTACCTTACATAAAGCTTAAATAAGACTTTATGGATTTAATCATACAAGAATTATCTTAAAGACTATTATTGGCATTACTATAGAGACCATCTTGAGGCATATACATTTGATATGAAATATTTTTAGATGTTCGCAGTCAAGTCCTTAGCACTGCTGCTTTATATTTTGAAGAGTCTTGGTTCGATATCGCCTAAGAGACTGGTTATTCTGACTAAAATTTTTCGTGATTATTCTCAGTCCCTCCAGGCAAATTCCGGGATAGTGTTTTAAATTAAACCCTGACCTCTCTTTTCCAATATGTAGTTCGATGCTGTAGGCATGAAAAGAGCAATTGAAAAGCCAGTAACTGAACAACAAATACAGAACACAAATAAATACAATTTATAAATAAGTCTATTGGCATAATGAATATTTAAAGAAATACAAAGAAATATAATCTATATAATTTCATGACAATGTGTTTCAGTTTGCAACAATTAGCTTTCACCTTAAATAAGTACATACGCAAGTTAGTGAGGTATAAAATATCACAACAATTACCTCACTGATATATTGGGTTTTTGGACTTCATCCATCGTCCTGGTTTTTATTAGTTATCTTAAAAACCAGGACGATGGATGAAGTCCAAAAACCCAATATATCAGTGTGTTATACACCATCGTCAGAATCCTATAGTAACTACTAACAATTACCTCGTTTCGAATATGTGTGTGATATATTAGCGTACATATTTCAACTGTCTTCATGTTATCGATTTGGGACTTGAAATATATTTTGATATCACAAGCTTACCATTCCTGCATGGCACTTGCAGCCACTCCCCACGAACCCGTACCGAAATTTTCATCGTGGCAACTGACAGAAGTTTCTCAGACAAATGTGTCACCTCTGTCCTTGTATTCTGCTAACTGCACACATGTTACCCCCAACCAGTAGAACGAGCTTCATCTCTTACGTAGTCGGAGACTGTTTATTGTAGTTTATTTGGAATTTCATGTCACTGTAGGCGGCATTGGTGTTAATCAGCAACTTACAAAGGTGACATGTGATGCAGTTCTCCGGCGTCAGGTGAAATGTAAAAATGTTTACTTACATATTCAAGTGTTCTAAGAATATGCGTGAAACAAAACACAGTCAGTTGATTTAGTGAATAGTTCTGCCTGCTGGGACATGATGCCGTATAGGAAAGTCAACTGACGTTTCACTTTAACCTATTGTCTCTATATTCAGGGTCGAAAGGTAACTGTAATAGTTTATTATTTGCTTTACGCTTCATTTATAAAGATGAAGACAATGTTTTCTCCGAAACGTCGGTCGACTTCCACTGGAGTACATGGTGTTATACCACAGAAGAGAGAATTCTTCATAAGCGCCGCTATGAGAATATCAAGTCCCGTAGTCGAGCTAGTATTTTGCTCGTATTTGTACAACAAACAAACTCCGTGGCATGTAGTCCGTAAGCGAACCATACCAACCGAGCGACCGCCGCTTGTCGACGAAGTTTTCGGATTACTTTTTCGGATAGAGGGTGTCGCGTGGTGAGCGCAACGAATCCCCACGGCCGTTAATCTCGGTTTTCTGGACCGGAGCCGCTGTTTTCTTTGAAATAGCTCTTCAATTATCAACACGAGGCTGAGTTGGCCCCGTTCCAGACCTACTACTTCTCCGAAAAAAATCTGTTAGCGTCGGGAATTGAACCCGGGACCTCTGGATCTGTAGCCAGGAACGCTGACCACTCGACCACAGAGGCGATCCATATTTGTACACAATGTGCAAAAACTGGACTAAATTTTAGATTTCTGCTGTTTTTGACAGTAAGAATTTGCATTTTTCAGATTTCATGTAACCAGGCATACACATTTCACAGGGAGCTAAGGGGCTATTTCGTAATAACTGTGGGAAACTCAGGGCGCCCTGTCTTCCTTCATTTTCTTGGGTTGTATGTCAAAACGTTCTTTGGAATTCGTCTACTTTCCATTCGTAATACGTGATCTGGATTTAAGAATTTTATTATTTAGATTAAAAACATTCAGTGTTCACTATCATTAATTTTGCACAAACTATTCATTTACGAACATTCTTTTAGTCTTTCTTGATACTAAACAGTGTTATAGTCTCTTGGTCACGGTATGAGTATTGATGTCATTTGACCTAGACGCCGGAATTGACGTTAGTAAGAAAAAATCAGCGGTACAGAGGTTTTGTAAAACATACAAGTTCTTTTACTGTGACATTGTAACTAATTACAATGATATAGACATTTCATTCTGTTGAATGTAAAGGAAACTAATGAAAATTTTTAGTGATCCTATTGAGTGAAGGAGGATAAAATGAAAACTCAGCATAAAAAACTTTCATGTTGTGATTTCTTGTTCTAAAACAGTGCCTTCAACAAGCAAAGTTATCCCAGCCAAGCATTCTATGGGGGTTTCCTATATTTCTAAGTGAGAATCATGTTTCTTTTCTTAAAAATTTTTACGAAGAGCATGTTGCAATTTGATTTCTGTATTTCCCGCTTTCGATACTCTCTTTCTACAATTAATTTAGGTTCAGTTTAATTTGATGTATTTAAATTAACCTGTTTGGAGAAATGTGTTAATCTCTGGTCTTATCACTGACTCTAAGCGATGTTTGAAATGTTGTGTACACCTGTACACAGCATGACAATTCTTCCACGTTTGCTCAGCTGTTCCGTCTTGACTACAGACTTCGGATGCAATCTTCTCAGTAACGTAAAATTAAATAATAGAATAAAATCTCCTTTAATTACCTTGAGAAATGTAAACATGTTGAAAATGGGACATACAGGGTTATTCGTAAGTCCGTGAAACATTTTAAAAGTTCACAAAACAAATAAACTATGTTTCGAATCATGACAATTCTTACGCCGATAGAGAATGATTCTCCCCAAGTATTTTTGAAAGCATCCATTGCCTGCTAATCTCAGGGATCACAGTTGCTGGGGCTCTGGTCAGCCGTGATATGCTGACACGGGTGTGGGACGAAATGGATTATCGCATAGATGTCTGCCGTATCAGCAAAGGTGGACACATTGAGCATCTGTGAACTATGTAAAAGAAAATTCGTGAGTTTATCTCTATTTCAACGTAATAAAATCTGGTATCCTTTGCATAGTTTATTTACTGTAAATTTTCAAAATGTTTCACGGATTTATGAACAACTCTGTATAATCTGTGTTTTATACAACTTTTCTTCCACATATTTTTCTCTTTGTAAAATCGTTCATTTTTTGGAATTATGATAGAGATGCACGCCGACATGCATGTAGGTCTTTACGCAAAATGTCTGCTACTCTTTCCTCTTCCGACTTTAGACGAAACTGTAATGTGATATTTAATGAATAGCCAATAACAGATGTCACGAAAATCCTTTTAGCCGTCTTGATTTGTTACATGCGGACAGGGAAAAATGGCGAAGTCATGAGGCATGTTTTTACAGCTTTTTATTGCAAAACAGCAAAATAGAATTAATGTTTTGCAGTATTTATCTAGTTGTTTGTGTAGACTATGACCTGACGGAACAAGAACGTGGACGTGAACTGTAAACATGCTTACATTGTGCGCAACAGAAATTTCCTTATTTATTATTGCCCATGACATCAGTGTGAGAAATTTCAGCGATTCTATTGATATAGCCTTCAATTTCCTTATTAAATTCGTGCAAACTCTTTAATGAAGTCGCATCACACGATTATATTTAAAGGAGTGAACACTAATGTATTTAGTCTACAATAACCTGTATGTTCCTGTTCATGCAACGCCATGTTGCTTACGAGTATTTCGCGCCAGTCTCATAATGCCTGAAAGCGTATTTTATGTAGTTTATGTAGCCACTCATTCATTTAACATTCGGTATTAACGAAACGCTCCTAATCAGGAAATTCTCTGCAGCACAGACAATGACATGCCTTTCTACGCCGCTAATAGACGCTGCTGTCGGTGCGTCCATGTTTCATTGTTGAGGTTGATACCTGATAACAGCAGCCATTGTGGTCACTAATCTGATCAATTTGTTTTACATAATAACGGTTTCAGGAAGAGTCTTAAGATATTTATACTGAAAGCGGGTAAATATGTCTAGAAATTCCTCACCTTCTGTAGAACCTGAAGATTCATTAATGTTCACAAAAGTTAACCCTTGATCGCTACCCTGAGCCAGGCGAGTCCATTCTACGTGTTCCCGTTCCATTTCTTTAGATCTACTTTAATATTATTATCCCATCTATGCCTTTAAAAATTATCCCTACAACCATTATTATTATTATTATTGGGGCACGTGGTAGTGTAGTGGTTACGGCACTATGCTACAAGTCGGGAGGTCGCGGGTTCAAATACCGATGAGGTCATTGGATTTTTTTTCAATTGACCTAACCTTTCAGTCGCAATATGGCCCTGGGGTTCACTCAGCCTCTAACAGAAATGAGTACCAGGAATTAAATAAATAATTTTCCTGGGGAGTAGAGCGCGGCCGGCGCGTAAGGCTGACAACCTTACCGCCATCTCTGAGCCGATTGTCTAGATAGTGTGGGACCCTTAACGTCTCACAACCCTATGGGCTTTACGGGGTAGCTTTACGCAGCAGTAACAACAAACCAAATGACTGTCCAGTAAGTTCGAATATTGGTTGGGACACCGACTAACTTCACTGAGTTATTTTCATGGTTTTCCTTAGTCCCTCCAAGCCATTTGTGGGGTATTAATCACTTAGGCCACGACCACTTCCTTCAAATTTATTTTCAAACTGTCATTCGTTTAACATCCCACCATTCTGCTCTATATACGTATAGTCAGTGAGACTGAAAGCGTCGTAACTTATCAAGAGAAAAAACACAAATGTACAAAATTTTGTCCGGTCTAGAAAACTGAAATTAACGGCCGTGGCCGTGGTCACGCGACACCCTCTATCCGCAAACGTTGGCACTAACTTCGCCGACAAGCGGCGGTCGCTCTGTCGGTATGATTCACTTGCGGACTACAGGAGAATGAATATAAAACGAAAATGTTCAAACTATTTGACCAACTGTTCTGATTGTTTTTTTTTTAATTTCCTAAAGTTTTTAAAATGATTTATTTGACAGTGCCTTAAATTATGATGTAAAGGCATTAAAACATGTCCAGTCAACTTTCTACAACATATTTGACAATTCAAGATTCATAGACATGAATTTCCAACAATATTTATTTAAATTTGGCTGCAAACATGCTTTCATAATAACTATAGAAAATGTAAATTTTTTACATTTTAAAGGAGCTGTGTTGAAAAACAGACTAAACTTACTTACCTTGATCATAGATGATCTCAAATGAGGACCACAATTAGGATAAATGTGAGAACATACTTTGGGGGCAGTTACAGATCAGTATGTTGGTGAAAGTTGCAAACAGGAAAATTGTTAAATTCTGAATTCTGCATAAAAAGAATCTTATTATTGAGCTGAAAGATACAGGTGATGTAACATCCTACTAGTTTAACTCCCAGCATTCATTTAACGATTTTAAGTGAAGATGACATTGGAGAAGAGTCACACCTGGAAAGACGTTCATAGACACTAGAATTTATGATTACAAAGAAAATAATCCAGATTTCATAAATAGCATAATATTTAAAATACAGGTGAAATTGAAAATAACACATTGATGGGATTATAAAAAAAAATTACACATCAAGCCAAGGGTGAACAAAATTTTGGAAGACCTCAAAAATTATCTGTAACAGACCTTAATACTTATAATACTATAAAAGGTGGTGGCGGTGCTGATGCTGCTGATGATGACAATGATGATGATGAAGGAAGCAGTGACTGTACGTTGAGATTTGTGGTTTTCACAGCAGAGAAAATGATGATTGTGGTCTTTTCAATGACTGCATAATTTCATAGGTCATATCCAATGTTTAGAATAAATTTTCTACTTCCATTTTCATGGTATAAATAAAGATGGAGGCAGCAGGTTCCTTAGAAAAGTTAATAACAACCAACTACTAAACTGCATGGCATCATAATCTAGAAAACCAAATTTTTATTAATTGCTGCTTATTTTGAAAACTACTTGGAATCCATATAGACACTTTGTGGACAGAATGCAAAATTATTATATGTTGAAATGGTGGATATGCACTGCCCTGTAAGGAGATCAAAAATTGAACCTTTACTTTGTATATTTTCTAACTCATTTAGTACTCATACAGTATAATACCCTAGAGGTCACATCAATCCCATAAATTCTCACTTAAATTTTTAATATTTGCCATTATGTGATTTTCCACACACTTTTAATACTTCACTTGCACCATCTGATACATCTCATGGTAAATATCTGAAAGCTCACAATACATACATACATACATACACACATACACATTTCTAATATTGAGAGTGCTCATCTTATGAACATCCATACATATGAACACTATCACAATACAATATTAAAAGTTAAATAGGCTTTATTCATAAGCTTACATATACTCAGCTACTGCTTATTACATTATTTCTTATGGGATTTCAACTTATTAATGACTTGACTTACAAAAGGAATGACTTTGGAACAAGACCCATTTGTAAGTCCAGAATCAAGTGTATAATATTTCATTTTTCAGTAACAGTGTTTTAAGAGAGTTGTTGCTTTTCATACGTATGCATTCCTATAAAATAAAGCTGGAAATCCAAGTTGCNCGTGACTGCATCCGTTCTGCGGTGGTATGACTCACGGCAAATTGCAGCCGCGGCGCGCACTTGATTGTACGCACTGTACATTAACATTAAAATATACATACAAATATATATTTGATCCACTGGCTCTTTGCAAGAAAATGTTATGTATCTCCTGTTATCATGAAAACTGTGCAAATATGACACATTGTGTTTCAGGTACTGTTTTTCAGCTGTTACCAAACCAATGCAAGAATAAAATTCCCTATTATGAAAAATTTGACTTGTGACAACTTGAAGGTTTTCTCATGTAGTTAACCAGAATTCCCATAAATGGAATCATATACTTTCAACATCTGTAAGATTTTTTTCCTCTCCCCTTGCTCACACTTTGGAGCACAGGGCTGAGTTCTCAGTTTCATAATCATTTTTATAGAGTGTAGGACTCTAGAAAACCGAGATTAACGGCCATGTCGATCTGTTGTCCTGACCACGCGACACCCTATATCCATAAAAGTTGGTATTAACTTTGTTCAGTCGGTATAGTTTGCTTGCAGACTAAAGGCCACAGAGTTTAGATTTTTAGTTTAGGAGTCCTTGGACAGGTGATCAGTTCATCAGGCCTCTACCTTAACACAGGAAAACACAAACAAAGAATAAATGTATACACACACCAAACATCCATGCTTTGTGTGGGATTCGAACCCATGATCCCGGCTTCTGAACAAGCAAAGGCAGTATATGCCTCAGACCGCTCGGCTACCATGACTGGCAACATCTGCAAGATATCACATACAAACCATACAAAGACAGATACAGCACGCATTATGCTTCCTTATCGCATCAGAAATAACCAAAGATTAAACACAATAGGGGCAGTAATAACTTATTCCTCAGTGGGTAATTCAGCACCACAGGTCTCCCTTACAAACCACACAACAAAAGGATTCAATTATACAGATTCTGAGATGGTATCATTATGTATTCTTGAACAATGCAATATCGTGCTATAATGCACACAAAAGTTAATTTGAATTATAAGAATCCACCAGCATGTTCAGGCATAGGTGTTTCGATGGAGTTAATGGCGTTTGATTTGACAATTATTTTAACTGGGTCATCTGTTTATTTCAGCTGTATAGTAACAGCCACATTGTAATTTTATGGGCACCCTGCTGGTCTAATGACTAAAGCCATGTTGGCCTCTAAACTTAATAGTGTATCAATGTCACAAATTTCAACAGCTGAAAGGTGATAATACTTCTTAATATTTGTTCAGAAACAAACTGTAAAAAAGGTATTTGTATTTAATGTCATTATTTTCCTAAGTTTATTTTAATGAACATTCTCTCTCACAGTTTATGTTTCAATACCATCCTTCCCTGGTGCTCAGCAGTTCATTGAAAAAGAGTTTCATATTTTGGTTTCTTAAATAGTTTTTCAGATCATTTACCAGAAGGCATTATTCGACTGGGTGTAGGTTTCACCACAGTGCCCCAAAATAAGATAGCACCTGTTGCTTCATGACGAATAAAAAACAAAAATGGCCTCTCAAATCTGACAACCTTGTGAGAACCATCTCTAGTGACTGACACAACTGTGGCAGCTGCAGCTTCTGTACCACTTTCTGTGACATCAATTGTGACCTTATGAATAACACTGTCTACATAGAGCCCAGGATTCTTACTTATCTTAGAATCGCCATTAATAGAGGGGATTTTAATGTGTTTAGGTGCTATTTGTTTCACTGAGTCTGTTTGGTACATTGATTTTTTGGACACTTCATCAGTACTGGTGTTTATATTTAAAGCTGTGTGCTCTGGACATTGATTTGTAGTTGATGTATTATTATCAACTCCTCTATTCTGTTCTTGAGTTACATGTGTTTCTCCCAAGCAGTCAGTGTTTATAAAAGAAGCAACATTCCTGTCATCTGATATCTGACTTAGATCTGCTTCGAATGGCTCAAATAGTGTATTAATACCAAGTATTTTCAAGGCCTTCTTCAGATATATTGTTGATTCAAGCTGCATACGTGGTACAGCAATGATTACAGTTCTCTCTGTTGCAGAATCTGCAAGTCCTTTCAAGCGATTCACTGTGAATTTGTATTGTAAACGTTTGAGAGCATGATACCCAGGTTCATTTGGAAGTACAAGATACATTGTTGCGCTATGATCTTTATATGGAAGCCCAACAATTTGGCAACCAAGAACTGGATCAGAATAATATGGGAAATCTCCACCATTTACCATCATCAGGACTTGTACGACTTCACTGGAACCTTTCACTTGACTGCCAGAGACATAAAATGGTCGCCTGAAAAATTACAATGTAACATTAAAATTAGTAAGATTTTTGTTACTGAAGTACAGGGTGCCACAACACAAGTCCTTACATACCATAATGCCTACACCACTTTCATTGCCATGAATTAGGCTGTGTGTGAGTTTCAGGCATGGAGGAAATAGTGTTACCAAAAGTTACGTTAAGGTTTTTTTTATTTGTGTTGTTTCAATGTCATGAACAACCTTTGCCATCCATCTACCTGTCTCTCTGTCTGTCTATTTACAGCTGTACAGCCCTATGTTGGACCTTGGCTGCTTTTTCAGTCCCTTGATCTTTTACACAGTCAGTAGAACTCCTTGTACAGAGGAGCAGCCCATTACAAGGCCTCTACCTGCATACAGGACAGCACAAACATAGAATAAAGGGCATACAAACATCCATGCTTCAAGTAAGATTCAAACCCATGATCCCAGTGTTTGAGTATGTAACAACAGTTCATGCCTTAGATTGCATGGCCACTGTAATCGGTGCAACATTTGCAGTTGAGCTGAAATCAAAGTCTCAACTAGTCATAAACATTTCTTACAAGTGAATGAAACCCTGCAATTTATTAAACCCTCACTAACATAATACATATTCTTGCTTTCAGACACTGATATTAGTGGCTTGGGCTGGCACTAAGGGTGTATAATGTGTTCTTAAATAGGATTATATGGTCAGTTACATGACTGTATTTATGCAGAAGTTCTCAATATAAAAATAAAATGTTCTGATTAAGAGACATTACTTACGTCCACATGTTTCTCAAGTGACTAATGGAACATGGCAACTGCAAGGGTCAAAGCATTAGAATACCTCTAGTGCTCTCACTAGTACAGCTGCTACTTATATAGGGAGGTTATTTGACACCTTGACACAAATCACACATCTGCTCCAGTGGAACAAACACAAGCTCATAATATAAATCCTTTCCACCTCTGCTCAGACCAACAGTGTAATCAGCAAGCCCATAGGCCAACTCATCACAAACAGAATCTAACCAGATCATAGGACCAAGATGTCTAAGAGATTTTTGATGAGCATTATCGGGCTTGGCAGCAATTTCGTCCTATTTCTCTTCAGCAAATACTCAAAATTTTGATTCAGTTTTCTTCCCACTCTCTCTAAATTTATTTAAAACTGCATGAATAATTTTCTATATTTAGAATTGTAACATGCTGAAAATAATGTCACAATCTTTCCCTTACATTTCTCATGTGTATCACACATGAATGCTGATTTCAATGTGTAAATCTCACACAGCATTTCAACGCAAGTATTAACATGGCTGACCAAATGTTTAATAAAGTAATAGGGGTTTGGAATTATGGTCAACAGAATTTATTGGAGTGGTAGTGGAAACAAATTGTGATGTGTACATGCTACTGGAATGTTAAATATACTAAAAGTCTGAACCTGCAGTGGGAAGTTGATGACAGTAACATGTGTTCTTTCTGCTGGGCTGCTTGAACAATTTGCAACAAACTGTCAGACAATCTCCTCATATAACAGAGATTCATCACCAGTCACTTCCTTCCTTATTGGAGTCTGCTTCTTCTCTGTGCTTCTATATCATATAATTTTGTTAAATAATTTTTCAACCTGTTGTCTTTTTATTTGAAATTTCAGTCACTGGTAGACCTTCCTTCTTGATACACATAGAAATATTTTTATTTTTGTGGAGAGTAAATTCCAGTGAGAAAAACGTATTCTTAATGATCCACACTTTATATACATATTTTTTATAAATGGGGCTCCATTTCCATACCTTCCAGAGGGAACAGCTTACATAAAATTTGTTTTACAACTGTAACTAACTTACTTTCACTTGAGGGGGGTGCCATAGCTCAAGCGGTTAGTCACTGGCTTCCCACCGCCGCAGCCCGGGTTCAATCCCGGGTCTGGTCAAGTGGGATTTGTGGTGGACAAAGTGGCACTGGGGCAGGTTTTCTCCGAGTACTTCGGTTTCCCCTGCCAATCTTCATTCCACCAACTGCTCCACAATCACCCTCACCTATCATCTGGGGCGGGTACAATAGGCCAGAAGTGGCCGCAGTACAAGGGACTTAGTCCCACCCCACTAGCATTAAAAAAACTTTCACAGTAGAATCCAAAATTCAATACTACTAATACTAAACTACATCACTTTACATGATCTTGAGCCAGCTTCATATGATTCTCATCACTTATAACCTGTTTGCATTACCAATAATATAATATTTTGTTCCAATCTCACCTATTTTAGTAGTGACCGAATTCCAAGAGGGTTTTCCACCAAAATTCTATGCACTTTTGGTGTCTTCAGCCCAGCTATGCATTTATCCCATCTTAACATTGATTTTATTATGCTAATAATGCCAGATGACCTGTATAAATAATTGAGTTCTTTGTTTCATGATATTCTTCATTCCCTATCTACTTCACCCCTCTTGGGTCTAACCATTTTGTTTTAAGATGTAAAATAGAGTAAGTATGTAATGATAATGTAAATGTAATTCAAACCCATATCTTGCTCCTTAGTAAAATTTCAGGGAGCTACAGTTAGATTGAAGACATTCAGTGCTGTGAAGAATCGCATGCCAGTCTCCCTTCAACAGATGTTAACTTTTCATTGAGGGATTTCACAACATATTTAAACTATCTAGGCCCATCTTCAGAAAGTTTTTCTGGCTTTCTCCACTGTTCAGCTTGTATAATTCTGTCTTACATGCCATTCCTGTATATACACACATTTTAATGTAACGGAAAATATGAAAGGAGGTGGAAAAATGGAAATCCATCTCTTTTTCCCACCTGCCTTAACATATGAGCCTTATATGTGATTTTATTTTGAATTAACTTTAAATATACATGTCTTTTTGAGATGTTGTACACAACCCACAGTTACTTACCATGCAGTCTGTTCTTTAAGGAAAGGACTCTCCCATGCACCATTGAAATAGAGGGCACTAGCAATTATAACCTTTGTGCTTGGAGGTGGTGGAGACTCCAGAATATTAGGTATGTGTCCATAAGTTCTGTTTTCTACCCACCTGAAATTAATACAAATACAATTAAAATAATGTGTTTGTAGGTTCACTTATACCTGAATAAGTGTTGTACCTATTTTCCCCAAATGTGAGCTGTCATCTAAGGAAAGGTTTAGGAAAGTAAAAAGTGTGAAATGCTGAATGGGTGCGAATCCAGGCACATGTCCTCCCTACCTACTTAAACAGTGCAGGGGTTTTTATATGTTCCAGCTTACTTTGTGCAGCTCAACTGTGGACATGATATAGATAGTGACCTACTTCAAATGTAATTATGCAGGCAACGTTGTGAATAATGTGGGTCAGAATTAGATTATCTAAAATCCTAGTGCTGAAATTGATGGCATTTCATTATTTTAATGTGGTCAGTTTCAAAATTATGAATGTGGAAAATTGTGAAAATGTTTCTAGTGATAAGAGAAATACTGCAAAAGCACAAATATAAAGAGAAGAAATCTAACATAGTTTACAGCTATGCCAGAGGTTCAAAACTGAGTACTTCCTAAATACAAGTCTATACTGTTACAGCTATGCCAGAGGTTCAAAACTAGATACTTCCTAAATGCAAGTCTATACTGTTATAGCTCTGCCATAGGTTCAATACCCCCTCGTTGGTGTCTCCACCTTATTCTGGTGAGGGGGTTTGAGTATGCCAAGGACCCTGAGAGCTATACCAGCGGTAGCGTAGATACTGGCAGGGCCTCCCTTGCTGGACAGGTCAAAGGGTAGGCATCAGACGAAGAGAGACACCAAAAACCGATGCTGGAAGCAGCATCATCAGTAGTGACTTGAAGCACAGAGCAAATGATGCTCGAGATGGTTCAAGTTCGTATAGCAGCAGGCGTGACCAGAGTGGTTTGAACGGCTGCTGTACTGCGATGTGGNAACAATGAAGAAGGCTCACTTTTCCTGGATAGTCTCTTTCCAAAAATGAATTGAAAAGAGCCATGGACAGGGCCAAAATATCTTGAGAAGATATGTAATGAGATTATGGAGTTTCAAAGAACAAGATGTTATGATTTGATGTACATGAAGACAAAAGAACTAGGATGGAAAGAGAATCATGGGATTCAAAATGTTGGTATCGAAGACTCCCAGGGGAATAGAATAGTAGATCAGAGGCAAGTGCTGAAAATTTGGTAAAAGTATATTACAGAGGTATATGATTGACCTAATCAGCCAGAAACCTTAGAAGTTGAACCAGAATAAGAAGTAGATACAGACGGGAAAGGACCATATATTTTACAAAGTGAGGTGGAAAAAGCTATCAAGGAAATGAGGAAGGGAAAGGCTACAGGAGATGATGATGTACCTGGAGATGTGCTCAAGTTACTGGGAGAAGGTGGTTTGAAAACACTGACAAAACTAATGAACACCATATATGAAAGTGGAGAGTGGCCCAAGGACTTTACAGAAGTGACAATGATTGCCTTAAAGAAAAAGACAAAAGCTACAAAATGCAGCGACCGTCGCACAATAAGCCTTATTGCACATACAGCAAAGATAATAGTAAAGATACTTAAAAGAAGAATTGAAAGGAAAATAGAGGATGTACTTGGAGAAGATCAGTCTATATTGTTACAGCTATGCCAGAGGTTAAAAACTGGGCACTTCCTAAATACAAGTCTATACTGTTACAGCTATGCCAGAGGTTCAGAGCTGTGTACTTCCTAAATATAAGTCTATATTGTTACAGCTGTACCAATTTACTTGGTACTTACTTGTTTATGACATTTCTTGCCTCAGTGCTATGACCACTGAAGTCCAGAGTCAGAACTTCATTCAAATAAGCATCCTTGCTCAGGTTTGCAAACCTTTCCTTTATCAGGAAACCATCTTGAACAAAAACTCCTCCTGCCATTGTCACATATGTTGATTTTCGAGCATCAGGGTAATTCTCAACCTTTTTTATAAACCTTCCAAAATGATAATGTAATTCATCACCACGTGAAACTAAATCAATGCCAGCAGCCAAACCTAATACATTTGCAATTTCTGTGTACGTTCTTCCAGCTGCTCCAAGCATTAGTACTGTCAAAGCTGAAGCAATACTAAGAGGAGAAAAAACTACATTGCTCATATCATCAACATTCCTGTAGTCCTCTGAAGATAACGCAAAATCCAACTGTAAAGCAAACTGTAGAACTCCTCGGGCTATGACGTTCTCTATAAGGTTTTCCTGTACTGTGTTTTTATTGTTGTCATCATATTTAAATTTGATGCTGCTTAAATCGGGAGGAGACTCATTATAGCTCCCATATCCGTGTCTATACATGGTTGAATCTGTTGAATTTGAAGCTGGTGGCACTTGCTGGGGCACTGAAATATTTCCAGGTATTGAGCTTGGGTGGTGAATTGTTGTTGAAGTAACAGCCATGTCAAATATCACAGATGTGCATAGAAGCAACACATAGCCTAACATCGTAATATATCTGAAAAGAAATGAAAATATTTAATTAAGTTTTGCAGGTAAACAGTGTATCATTTTCAAGACGTGCACATTATTGAGCAACCATTTAGGTCTTCTATTGGAGTATGTGTAATTGTTTCAAATAGATCAAACGCCAAAACAGTTTACATCCTTTTCTTAACGAACTTCATTGAATAGTTTTGACTTATATATTTTTCTTTAATTTGGTGCATAAGTAAAAAAAAATACCCACACTTATCAGTAATATACATATATTCATTTATTTTTAATTTTCATTTCATGCATCCTGTTGTGTTATAATATACAATTTCTTTATTAAAACCGTCACAACGCAACTACATTAAGGTACGAACAATACTTTGTAAGATGAGGCACCGACTAAATAGTGAGTAAATAATACACTATCACTTCAATACCAAAGACCAGTTGTTGATTATAACAAAATTTAATGCTGACTAACTTCTAATCTTGTCTCGGTTTTAATATCTCAGCACGGATCGCGTAGAAAACACCGTTTCGAACAGTTCCTCTGTTGTTATGCGTGAACTCACTGCCGTGGGAAACTGTTTCTTTGTCGCTACCTGGTAACAGGTCTACACGTTACATTATGATAATTTTGATCAAATTAACATTTAAATACGTTGAGTTGAAAGTAAGGGAAATGAATAACTTCTAACATTACCCGTATTTGACTTACAATCTTCTCTGTCATTTCATTAGCCTTAATTTGTATTATTCTCGGGACTTTTCTGGGAACTCAATCCCCGGGCAGGAGAAGCCTTATTCAACAGTAAAATGACGCGCCTCATTCCGAAAACTTGATGCAACTGTTGGCTTTGTGACCTTTAAGAGGTTAAGTACCAATCTACATATACAGCGGTGCCACTATCATTCAGTATTTCGTGTGGGCTATTTGTCTCAAGATTCAATGAAATTGTGATGTAGGTAATTCTAAAAGGTGCTCGGATAAGGGCAATAAATGAATTTGGAAAGACAGAATTGTTAGGTGCACAAACAGTGCTCATTTCCAACTAGAATACCTGAAAGGTAAGGTAAAGTTGTCCCTGTGCTTAACTAATTCGGTATTACGCTATGAAGGTGTATTGGGAAGTGGGGGTATGGATCCACATTTCTTGTCCTCGGCTGTAGTTGGAGGTGAGTGGTCAGCTTTACTGCCCGGCCGCTTTACCCACAGTACCCATGGGATAGGAGGTTGGGTGGACCCCAGGGCCTGCCACAGTAAAATTCTGCATTAAATTTGCAGTCTGTTTTGTTATAGCGCAATAAGACACAGACCACGTGTTATGGGACAAAGCATCAGGATTCAGTTCAACAGACGAATCAGAACGCTAACAAAGAGAAGATAGAAACAAGAAAAATTGGCTACTGTAATATATATATATATATATAAACATGCAAATATTGCATTGTTCCAGTATTATAATGCTTTACATATGGCTATATAACCTGTTTAAAGGTAAAGTTGTCCCTGTTCTTAGTCAACTAAGCACCATGCCGTGAAGACGTATGGGGGAGTTGAGTCATGGCTGCACCATTATTGACCTTGACACTGTATGGAGGTCAGTCGTCAGCTTTACGCCACTGCTCATTTACAGCTGGGGAAAAACCCGCAGTACCCAATGGATAGGGGGTTGTATGGACCCCAGAGCCGGTCTGGAAACTACGGAGAAAAGAAAAATTTTGCCCCTGTCGGGAACCGAACGCCGACCGTCCAGCGCATGGCTCATTGTTATACCAACTGAACTATCCCAACTCTGTGTAACTGGGTTTATATTTTTTAAAAAATATAGGAAAAGTATTGTAAAACTTTTATTCCTTTTAATAATTTGGACTCCTCTAAAGAGATCCTAGAGGCTGTAATATATAGGATGAATTAATCACCTATCGATTAAATTTCGTTTTGTATTAGGTGGTTAGAAATTAGAACGATGGGCAGGGCATGTAGCACGAATTGGGAGAAAAGGAATGCATATAGGATACTGGTGGGAAAGCCAGAAGGAAAGAGGCAAATGACTTAAGTGAATGGATAATATTAATATGGATCTTAGAGAGATCGAATGGGACGACATGGATTGGATTCGTCTGGCTCGGGATAGGGACCAGTGGAGGGCTCTTGTGAACACGGTAATGAAACTTCGAGTTCCGAAATATGTTGGGAAATTCTTGAGTACCTGCACAACTGGAGCTTCTGAAGAAGGGCTCAGCTCCATGGAAATAGAATTACTGGGTTTTGGGGCTTTTTTCCATCGTCCGGTATTTTAGAATATAGAAAAAAACGTTTTGGAAACTGGATCTGTTTCTATCCTCTGGTGAAAGGGGGGGGGGAAACACCTACCCAGTTGGGTTCCTTGGAAAAAGATAATCACTGGACGGTGAAAAAGTCCAAACACCCAAAAATTCTAAGTGTTATACACAAGCGTCAGAACCCTTGAGAATCTACTCCATGGAATTAGTTATTAGGTGGTTGCCTTCTGAATAAAATCCAGTTGGCCTAGTAACTGAATCATTAAGTGAAATATCTGGTGTGGACCCAGTTCGGATACTAGATTCTGATAGTAATAAGATCGAATGAATGTGAACTACACATAAACTTGTAAAGAACCTAATCTTTTTAAGCTGCCACGGATTAGACCCTTTCGATTATCTCGACTAAGATTTATTTCACGATTGTGAATAAGATATTGATTTGTTGGACTCCTTGAACGGGAATTCGGTCCACTGTAGAATCTATTTGTATAAGAAAACACGAAAGATAATTCTCAGACATGCTCTGGATGCTTCGAAGGGGATTCGAGTACGCGATCCCAGTTTTCTGGTGGTCTGAGACTGTATAGGCATTACAGCGCGACGCTATTATGATCCGCATAAGTATCTAATTGCATTTTACTATCGATACCACGAGTTCTAAACTCGATATATCGAATATAATGCAGGGGAACTTGATAGCGTTCCATTCAATTTCAGTGATATGACTCTTCGTGAATAACCCACTGTACCTTCAGATTATGAAATATTTGGAAATGAAAGTTTCTCTGTTAGGCTGTTTTATTATGCACGGTCCATGTTTCCTGGATAATGGTGCTTAATGTAGAGTCGATATGTGCGTCACTGACAACAGGAGAGGAGTAAATGAGTAGGAAAAATGTCCCAGTTTAATAAATTAGTATCGTTCTCATGAAACTTGCTAATCGATCTTTCATGTTCACCATTAACGACTTCGATAAAGCGTGTGACGATGTATCGATTAAATAATGGCGCAACAGAAGAAAGGAAATACTAACACCTTTACGAGAAGTAGACAGGTGAGTGAGAAATGGTAAAACACCCACGTAACAAGTAATTTCCGTTTCCAGGAAAATGATATAGCTAATTATTTTAGAAGGTTTATCGTGTTTTACCGCTACCGGAATAAAACCAGCTCTTTGTTATGTTCATGCGATTACCAGATGTAATTAGTCCTACCGTAAGCGGAAACTGAATTCCGGGCGAATGTTTGCTATACCTGATTCTTTTGAAAGGGGCTAGGTCAGTGCACTTAGTATTGACTGGGTAAGTTACTACTAAACAAGGCTAATTAATCCCTTCCATGCCAAAATTTTGAGAACAATTATATTATAAATTATTTTTATGTGTGTGTTTCCAAGGTAACTCACGATTTCCATTAGTTAAATCTATAAAGTTTCCATTTCTGGCTATGAGAACAGAGGTTTAATTTAACTGGCTGTCTCACATAAGACGTTTTTTTCTTTCCTTGCCACTAGAACCCCAGTGGGCCATGAACTTCTCCGTTCACTTCGGTTCTTCTAGATCCTACACATTCGGTAGGACTCTTTGGGCGGGGGATCAGCTCGTCGCAAGGCCTCTACCTGTACACAAACACAGAAAAACGCACACACACAAACCAAACATCCATGCACTGAGTGGGATTCGAACCCACGATCCCGGTTTCCAGCGAGTGAAGACAGTGCATGCCTTAGACCGCTCGGATACCGTGACCGGCACATAACAGACATACTAGGCAGAAAAGAATTACGTTTCTAGAAGGTAAACCGCATTTTGTCATTAAAAGTATTAACGACATTAAATAACTGTACATTTTCTTTCTTATATATATGTCGCCACTGTGGTCTAGTAGTTAGTGTTCCTGGCTACAGATCCAGAGGTCCGAGTTCGATTCCCGGCGCTACCAAATCTTTTCTAAGAAGTAGTGGGTCTGAAACGGAGTCAACTCAGCCTCGTGATGATAATTGAGGAGCTATTTTAAGCAAATAGCGGCTCCGGTCTATAAAGAGGTTGGTCTAGAAGTAAACACAGAGAAAACTAAAGGGCAAAATCATGACATAAAGATAGGAAACAGATGTTTTGAAAATGTGGCACAGTTCAGATATTTGGGAACAACGATAACAGTTCGAAACCTGATTCAGGAGGAAATTAAGAGGAGGTTGAACTCGGGTAATGCTTGCTACCATTCTGTCCAGAACCTTTTGTCTTCTCGTCTGCTGTCCAAAAACATAAAAATTAGAATATACAAAACTATAATTTTGCCTGTGGTTCTGTATGGGTGTGAAACTTGGTCTCTGACATTAAGGGAGGAACATAGACTGAGGGTGTTTGAGAACAGGGTGTTGAGGAGAATATTTGGACCAAAGAGAGATGAAGTGACAAGAGGTTGGAGAAAACTGCATAATGAGGAGCTTCATAGCTTGTACTTTTCTCCAAGTATAATTAGAATGACTAAGTCAAGGAGGATGAGGTGGGCACTGCATGTAGCACTAAAGGGGGAGACGAGGAATGTGTATAGGATATTGGTGGGAAAGCCAGAAGGAAAGAGACCACAGGGAAGACCAAGGCGTAGGTGGGTGGACAATATTAGAATGGATGTTAGAGAGATAGTATTGGATGGTATAGATTGGATAGATCTGGTTCAGGATAGGAACCAGTTGAGGGCTCTTGTGAACACGGTAATGAGCCTTCGGGTTC